CGAGTCTCGGAGCAACAACTCAGTACCCGCCTTTCCTCACACACACGCACGCCACCACCCACCTACACCCCTGTCCCCCCAGGCGCTGGTGAACAACAACGTGGACGAGCTTGAGAAGGAGCTGATGGCGTTCGGACGGCCCATCGGGGACGATGCGGGAGCGCAGCTGTACCAGGTGCTGGAGATGAGCCGCGCCTTCTATGACACCTTCCAGGACCACCTCGACGGGCGGCGCGCTGGTGGTGACCGCATCACGAGCGTGTTTGAGGACAAACTGCCGGCTGCTCTCAAGAAGCTGCCATTCGACAAGTACCTCAGCCTGCAGAGTGAGTCGGGTGGAGGGTGGAGTGTGGAGGGTGTGTGGGGTTGATATTTGAGGCGCCTCAGAATCTGCTGCGCTCAAGAAGCTTCTGTTCGACAAGTACCTCGGCCTGCAGAGTGAGTTTTTGGAAAGGGGTGTGGAGTGTGAAGCTGTGCTGGTTGACTTGGCATGATGCTGCGCGTCGCGCCGCCCCTGCGCTCAAGAAGCTGCCATGCCATTTGACAAGTACGTGAGCCTGCAGAGTGAGGTTCCTGAGTGGGGTGTGAAGTTGTGCTGGTTGTCTTGACACGGGCTGCTGCCGGCCATGCAGCCTGCATTCAAGGAAGGAGTAAGCGGTTGACAGGTACTTTAAGGCTGGTACCCGTCCGGGCCGTCCCCCTCTTCTGCTCCGCTTTCTCTCCCCTGCATCATCCGTCCTCCACTCGCTGTCTCCCCCATGCCCCTTGCATAAGCCCCTTAATTGCCCTCTTCCCCTTCTCCTCCCTCCCCCCCCACACGCCTCCCCCCCGTGCCCCCTCTTCAGACGTGCGCAAGGTGGTGGCAGAGGCGGACGGGTACCAGCCGCACTTGATTGCCCCCGAGAACGGTTACCGGCGGCTGATAGAGGGTGCGCTGCTCATGTTCAAGGGGCCTGCTGAGGCCGTGGTGGACGAAGTGCACTTCATTCTCAGGTGGGGGTCGAGGGGGAATGGGGGGACTGGGGGAGAGGGGGGGGAAAGGGTGTGGGAAATTCCGAGGCGGCGGGTCAAAGCTGTGACGGCTGTTGGGGCGGCTGATAGAGGGTGCACTGCTCATGTTCAAGGGGCCTGCTGAGGCCGTGGTGGACGAAGTGCACTTCTTTCTCAGGTCGGGAGGAGAGGGGTGAGGGAAAGAGTGAGGAGAGAGAGAGGGAGAGGGGTTCGGAAGAGAGGGAGACAGACTGATGTTTTTTTTTTTTTTTTTTTTTTTTTTTTTTCTGGAGCTCGCTTCAGTTTTCCTGTGGTGACCATTCAGGGGATTCGTGGGTTCCTCCCCGTTCTTACTCTTTCCTTCGTTTGCTTATGTCCTCTCCCCTCCTGTACTTGCTTGCAATCCCCCTGTGTCAACGTGCAGAGATCTTGTGAAGGCTGCAATAGGGGAGACGCAACAGCTGCTGCGCTTTCCAACGCTCCAGGTAGGAAGAACAAGCAGTGCTGCTAGCAGCAACCTGACATAGTACCACTGCTGCACGTCGCATTGTGTGTGGCACAGCACACACATTTTCGGGGTGGCCCTATCCCTTTCCCCCCCACCCCCACATACCCGCTTTTTTTGGATTACTGCACATGGTTGTGTGACTCATAGCACGGAAGAGACTCCCATGCCTGTTCTTCCTCTCGCCCCCCCCCCACCCACTCCCCTCACCCCTCCTCCACTTTCTCCTTCTCACCCCAGGCGCAACTGCTGGCAGCGGCATCGGCAGCGCTGGAGGTGTTTCGGGAGGAGAGTCGGCGCACAGCAGTGACCATGGTGGAGATGGAAACGTCCTTCCTCACCGTCGACTTCATCCGCCGCCTGCCCCCTCACTGCCACCACTCCCTTGCATCTGCACTCATCCCCTCCACCCCTGCCCCATCTCTTCCCCTGTTTCCCCCCCGCCCTCCCGTTTCCCCTGCTTTTCCTCTTCCCCTTCCCCTTCCTCCCTCCACCCAACCGCACCCCTCCTCCCATTCCCCAGGCCCAGCTGCTGGCAGCGGCATCGGCAGCACTGGAGGTGTTTCGGGAGGAGAGTCGGCGCACAGCAGTGACCATGGTGGAGATGGAAACGTCCTTCCTCACCGTCGACTTCATCCGCCGCCTCCCCCCCTGCTGCCACCACTCCCTTGCATCCACATTCATTCTCTTTACCCCGCGCTGTCCGCATCTCTCCCCCTGCCTGTGCCCCGCTCTCCCGTTTCCCCTGCTTCTCCCCTTCCCCGTCCACCCAACTCGCCCTTGCTCCCGTTCCGCAGGCGCAACTGCTGGCGGCAGCATCAGCAGCGCTGGAGGTGTTTCGGGAGGAGAGTCGGCGCACAGCAGTGACCATGGTGGAGATGGAAACGTCCTTCCTCACCGTCGACTTCATCCGCCGCCTCCCGCAAATGGACGACGCGCCGCCGCCCAAGCGCGGGGACTTTGTGCCGCAGGGCGCCGACCGGTACACGGAGATCCATCTGCGGCGCATTGGCAGCAACGTGTCGCAGTATGTGACCTTCGTGATGGAGGCGCTCCGGAACTCCATTCCCAAGGCTGTCGTGCATTGCCAGGTGCGTTGCCACAATCTCCAACATGTTTCATGCATCGTGCATGTGCATGTTCATGTGCATGTTCATGTGCATGTTCTTTTCGTGCTCTTCCGTCTCTTCCCTGCTGTTCCTCACGCTTGCACGCTGTGGAAACACCAAGTGCAACCTGCCAATCATTCCCCCTCTCCTCCTATCCCCCACTTCCCCTCCGCATCTCCTCCCAACCCAAACCGCTGTTCCTCCCCTCCTCTCTTTTCCTCTCACTCGCCGTGCCTCTCGGCCTCTTCTGGCTTCCGCCCCCGCATGCAGGTGCGGGAGGCGAAGCGCACGCTGCTGGACGCGTTCTACACGCAGGTGGGCAATGAGGAGGGCAAGCAGCTGTCGAAGCTGCTGGACGAGGACCCCGCGCTCATGGCGCGCAGACAGGCCCTCAGCAAGCGCCTCGAGCTGCTCCGACGGGCACGGTCCGAGATCGACAGCGTGGGCTGGGCCAACCGGTGATGAAGCGAGGCCAGGCGAGGCGAGGCGAGGCAAAGCGAGGGTAAAACAGGAAGCCTCATTTGGGGGATGGAGATGGGGGGCTGGAATTGGGATGGTTTTGGACAGGATTGGATGGATGGTACTACCGGTAGTGGTGAGGGCAGTGAGGTTGCTGGATGTGAGGTTGCTGCTTACGCATGGGGGTTTTGCTACTGGCGAGAAATGGATGGTGGGAAGAAGTTGAAAACATATGCAGCTGTACTTAATAATGCTTGGAGTGCGAACTGGAGTCAGGTGATTTGTTCACAAGGTTATGTGGCTGGCGGGGGCACAGGCATCACTTGATTGTGAACTGTATTTTTACCAGCACTGTGCATGACTCATGTTGCAGGCTTGTGGAGTGTAGTGTAGTGCGCTGTTCTTTTTTGCTGTAATGCTTCTTGCGAGAACTTTTGTATGATGATGGTTGTGTAGAATAACTGAGATTAGTGAGTGACTCATGCTGGAAAAAGTTGTAGGCAATACCAAGGAAATAACCAGATCAAACGGTATGTTACATCTATATACAAAACCCTCGGGTATGTGGTAAAGCGTAACATCTTATATGATAAACGAGCTTCCACACAATTATGCCTTTAACGAATGTTTTCGGGGTTTATGAGTAAACTGTACTTTCCATTACCATGACAGAACGCATGTATATGTTCCATTCATAAATATACCATTATCGCGTCACTTCTTTCCTTCGTGTAATAAGGTGTACAGGCCTCGGAATTTGTGAGGGGGTTCAGTCGATCCGGAATTAAGCTCACAGCCAATCAAAATATATCGGAAGTGGAACTCACGCGATGTGTTTTGCTTGAACGGTTGCGATTGTCGTCGATCATTTGGTTGTTTTTGGAACTTCGGTGTTTCAAATCACAACGCGTGCGGTTGGCGGGGGAACGAAGCTACAGCATTGCAGCAACTCTCAATGGAGGCCTCACTGCCTTCAAAAGCACGCTTTCTTCCATTCATTTCTTCATCCAGTTTTCTCGTTCAAGCACTCGACTCTCTCTCACATCTTTTCCAGCTATCAGAACTTACTTTCTAGCTCTTCCAAGTTCGCTGTGATCGGTTTCGGCTTCATTGTTTTGGAGAAATGGCTCGTACCAAGCAGACCGCTCGTAAGTCAACAGGAGGTAAGGCTCCTCGCAAACAACTCGCCACCAAGGCTGCCAGGAAGTCAGCTCCCGCCACTGGCGGCGTGAAGAAGCCTCACCGCTACCGTCCCGGAACCGTGGCTCTTCGTGAGATCCGCAAGTACCAGAAGTCGACAGAGCTTTTGATTCGCAAGCTCCCCTTCCAGCGGCTAGTGCGTGAAATTGCTCAGGACTTCAAGACAGACCTGAGGTTTCAGAGTTCCGCGGTGATGGCTCTGCAGGAGGCAGCTGAGGCTTACCTCGTTGGTCTATTTGAAGACACCAACTTGTGCGCCATCCACGCGAAGCGTGTCACCATCATGCCTAAGGATATTCAACTCGCTAGGCGTATTCGTGGCGAGCGTGCTTAGGTTCTTTTTTAGTTTGAAAAGAATTACTTTCCATTGTAAATGTTTACGCGTATTGAATTATTATCCTCTTTCTCAGAGTTTCCGCTTTTAGAGGTGCTTATGGTCAACGTAGCCTTACATCGCATTGAGTTTGCAGTCGTTGAATGATATTATGACATACCAGCAGGTTTAAATGTAAGTACTTGTTACAAGTACCGAAGTATGAACAAAGTTGTATCATATGTTCTACAATTAGTCACATATGTACAAGGTTGTATCCATCATTGCTACAGAAACATTCATCCAGTCACAATCGTAGTATCAACAAATTGAAAAAAATTGAGTCATATATGTACAAGTTTGTATCCAACATATATCCATTCTCTATTTACCTAGCTACCACAACAACGGCCACTCCCTTCCTCTACTGACCATCACGTCTACGTCTACCTCCAACAGCTTCTGGCAACATCCTCGCTAGAGGTGAAGGCAACCAAGTAGGCTCAGGCTTGGGCGCAAAAGGGTTCCACCCTCCATTTCCCTCTCCATATGGCACAGCAATATTACCCAAAGATCCATCACCCGCTCTGCCACTATCTCCACCACCACCTCCACTCGCAGCACTGAAACTCCCCCCACGAGTAGAACCAGCCTTGCTACTATCCCCACCACCTGCCCTGCTCCCACCCGCCCTGCTACCCCCGCCACCACCTGGAGCAGGGGTAGAAGCATTGCTGCGGCTACCCTGCTCTGACCTGCTGCTTAACCCTCCTCCACTGCTCCCATTATCCTCTGCACCATCCTTCTCCTTCCTCCCACCCCATCCGAACAGCTGCAAGGGCGATGTAGGTCCCCCCCTGGCAGCATATCGAGGGGTTGCACCTCCACGTGGCACTTGACCATTGGACTGGTCTGCAGCATCGGCAGAGTCAGAAGCATTTTCTTTAGCAGATTGCAGCAGATCGGGCATGAAGGGGATGGAGATGGAACGTGAGGCTATGTACATCACAAATAGAGAGGAGATGAAGGAGAGCGGCTGCAGGGACCAGTGCACTGCTCCAAGTAACTGCAACCATAAACACACACGAGAACTGTCAGCAAAACTACCACAAAAACGAGAAGCAAAGAAAATGACGGCTGGCAAAGGGGACAATCAAGAATATACTAGGGTATAACTGACAAGTCACCTCACCTCCCACTTGTTCTGCAGGCCCTTGCAGGAGCGCAATCCCACTGGCTGCACATGCTCGGGTTGCACCAGCCAGTGGCGGGACGAGTGCCACAGCTCACCCGGCAGATGCACCGTCAGAAACCCATTCGGGTGCACAGTCGCAACACTGTAAAGCAAATGGGGAAAAGGATCACACGGCAGTGGAGAAGTGGATGAGCCAGAGGCACAACTGTGCACATGAGCAAAGCATGAGCAAAGCATGAGCAAAGCATGAGCAAAGCATGAAAGCATGAGCAACAATGACAAGTCAACAGGATGCGAAGGGCGTCTTTACCGAGCAGCATTGACTCGCTTCCGCCCTTTCCTCTTGGCAGCATCCCACACCTCAACCAGTTCCGAGATATAGGCCCATCCATACAGGGGCACAACTCCCTCCCTCAGCTGCACCATCTGCCCCACTCTGTACCCCTCCACACGCCTCACATCTCCTCTCCCAGGCTCCAGCCCCCCTATCACCCCCTCTCCACCTGCCACTGCTATTTCCACCGCCTCACCCACCACCCGTTTCACCACCCCCAGAGGTGGGTTAATCTCTGGAGTAACATCCTCCAGCATGTATGGGTAGGGAAACGGCAAGACCCCTGAGGTGTCCTCGTAGCGTGCGGTGGCAGCAGCGCGCGCAGCAGCGACGCGTCTGGTAGAGGAGATGAGAGCAACTGCGTCTGGTGTGAGGATATGCACCCAGTCCCCCACTGCAATGCCATGCGTCACTCGCTCCGCTTCAGCTGGGTCCACACGCCAGAGGGCGGTGGATGGTGTGGAGGATGACGAGGGTGAGGAAGAGGAGGGAGAGGGAGAGGAGGAAGAGGAGGAAGGGAGATCCACCCTCACGCCCAGCATGCCATCGCTGCTGTCTACCACAGTCACCACACCCTCACTGCCAGGGAAAAAAGAGAGAGGGGGGAGGGAAAGGAAGAAAAATTACACAATGCAGAGAAACGTTGGAAGGGAGACGAAAACTGAAAGCAGAGAGGGAAATGACTGCCTCTCTTGCAGTTTACCTGCTCCTGCTGTTTCCGCGCCAGCCGAATCGTGGATTCCCCACTCCCCTCTTGATGCGCACCCGATCACCACATTGGAAAGGCTCCTGCACACGCCACACCACACCACACACGAATATGAGGATGATTTTTTTTTTAAAGAGGACAAAACTAGTGCAAGCCTATTAACAACCGGACCACTCCCCCCATATTTTATTTCTGCAACGTCAACCACCCCACTCACCTCCACAATCCCCAGCACGTTCTTGCATGGATAAGCCACCAGGTCGCCAGGGCGCTTGTCACACAGCTGCACTGCCACCACTGCTTCCCCTGCCCGCACTGCGGACACAACTCCCACCCTCTGCTGCTGCTGCTGCTTGTGCGGAGGAGTGGACGGGGATGCAGGTACACGCACCCAGTCCCCTGGGAGGTACTGGCTTGTGGGACTGGTGGGGCACAAAGAGGGAAAACAAATCATTAGATGCTAGTTAAAATTGAGGGGGAAACAGTTTTTTCTTTATAAGAGTTGGATATTCCTGTGTAATAGGGAACAAGAAACAGCATGCTTCACACCCTAAGTTACGATTGCCATGCAAAACACCAATACCTGAAATCACTTCGCCGGGCAGCAGCACTAACCGGGTGAAGGCCCTCAAAAGCGTGTGAAAGGAGGGACGCTTGTAAGGGTCACTGTGAAAGCAGCGCAGCAGCACTGCCTCCAGTTCCAGCGGCAGCTGCTGCAACGCTGCCAGATGCGCCGCTGACACACACGCGGGCAGGGACGATGGTGCCGGGGGGGAGGAGAGAGCGGGGGAGGAGGAGGAGGGGGTGGAGGTAGGAGGGAAGCGCTTGCAGTGGTCTGCCATGCGCCTGTGGTGGCGGCAGTGGTGGCGGTTATGTGGCGCGTGGGCAGTGATGACGTCGTGGATTTGCTCAAGTGACATGTTGTTGCAGGGGGACACGCCTGGTGTGAGGACGAGGGGAGAACAGAGATGGGAGGATTTAGGGATGCAAGCGAGGTGAAGGGGAGGCGAGGCTGCGCGGGTGCAGCTGGAGGAAACAACAAAAGCACAGCAGCCAGGAAGGTAGGGAGGTTAGGCAGGCTAGGAGTACCGGACACACACAATTCTCCCTAATACTGAAATTCTATACACAAACCGCACCTGAGATCATGTGCAGGGCAGCGCAGGCAAAGCCCCACGCATCAGTGCCTTCCACCAGAGGCCCGTTCACTGCTGCCGCCCACTGCTCTGGTGCCATGTATGCCGGCACTCCTGCCCACACAGGAGATGAGTTCGCTCCACCAGCTGCTGCTGCCAGCTCGGGGATTGGTGAGAAGGGGTCCGCATGCATGTCTGCCAAGGACAGCGGGACATGAGAGAGGGCAGAAAGTCAAAACAGGTAACAGTCATGAGCATGCACAAGGCAGCTTCAAGCACCTCGAAGGCCGTTCCTTCCCACGTAGACTCGTCTGTGTGGGCGGTGCACGTACACAAGCATTACCTCCAGGCTATACAGTGCTTCTGATTCAGGTAAAGACTCAACTTCCCCTCTAATCTCGCCTTCATACTCACCCACACACATTGCTTATCCCAAACACCCAAACCACCACGCATCTCACCTGCAAGGGCCCATGGGAGGCCTGGCGGAGCAAGGGACACCACATCCTCGTGGAAGGAGGGGAGGAAACTTTTGACTCTCACCCCCCACCCCACCACACCCACACCACCACGCATCTCACCTGCCAGCGCCCATGGGAGGCCCGGCGGAGCAAGGAACACAGCATCCTCGTGGAAGGAGGGGAGGAGGAAGTTGGATTTTGAATCTCACCCCCCACCACAACCACACCCCACACCACCTCTCGTCTCACCTGCGAGCGCCCATGGGAGGCCCGGCGGAGCAAGGAACACAACATCCTCGTGGAAGGAGGGGAGGAGGAAGTTGGAGGGGCGGAGGTTCAGAGCGAGCACACCCTGCTCGTGCAGCTGCTGCACCGCTCTGCACACTGCTGCACCGTACCTGTGCAGTCAATAAATGACACGCACGGAATGGAATGGATGAAGTGGGATGAGCAGAATGGGAGATGAGAGAACATCTTAGCACAACGGATGGAATGAGCAGAATAAAATGACCCTCTGCAGAATGGGAGATGAGATATTTGAACCGCTATAAAATGACCCTAAACCCCCTTGCAGCGAAAATGACCCTAAACCCCCTTGCAGCGAAACAAGACAAACCTGAGGAAGAGGTGGAAGGGCAGGCGGTTTCCTGGCAACTTGTGCATCATGTCCGCAATGGACTTGTCAAAGAGCGGCGACACCACTGCCACCTGCATGTTATGAGAGAGATGAGGGTACAACCAACAGCACGGAGAGAGGAGAGAGAGCAATAGAGCAGTAGTAAGGAGATATTTGGATACAAAATGCTTCTACACCCCCTTACTCTTTTACCTTCCGTTCCCACTTTCAACTTTTGAAGGTGCCAGTTCCAAGGCGAACCAAAGGTCATATATTACCATTCGACACACTAACAGACAGTCTTACCTTATCCATGCACGTGGCCAGGTGCAAGCGCCCACCCAGGGCGTCCTCACAGCCTCTCAGCGCCATCACCAGCTTCTCCAGCCTCTCCTTACTGCCCACTGCCGCTGCTGCCCTTGCTGCTCCAGGCAACGCGAGCTGTTCCGCGGGCGGAGCAGAGAGAGAGAGCGCATGGCGGGGGAGGGAGTGCAGAACCTTCACAGATACAGCATGCTCGTAAGGGGAATGCAACCCCGCCTCCTCCATACTCGCCTCACTCCCTCTGGTGCTCGAGAACCCGGGAATGCTGCCGGTGGTGGTGCTGCTGGTGCCACCGCTGGGGCCACTGCTGGGGCCACCGCTGCTGCTGCTGGAGCCTACGCCGCTGTTGCTCCCGCTCAGACCCCCTGTGTGGGTGCTGATTGTCACGTCCCCACGAACCACGCCCTGCCACGTGTCTCCGAAGTCCCCAGAGCCGAGCTTGTGGGAGAGATGCAGGCGGCAGGCGTGCAGCCAAGGGGAGAAGTCACCAGCACTACGTTCACCCCCACGGCCACCAGCACGGTCACCAGCACGGCCACCAGCACCACCACCACGTGCTTCCTGACTCGCCCTGCTGCCACCATGCGCCTCAGGATCCCTCTCACCAGCACGATTGCCACTCTTAGCAGCGCCGCTGCCACCAGCAGAAGCACCACTGCCATTACCAGCAGTACCACTGCCAGCACCACCCACGTAGGAGCTGTTGCTGCCACTGCTCTCCCTGCGCCACGTCCCCTCCCTGCTCCCAGCCGAGGCAGTGCTTTCACCAGCAGCAGCAGCTGCGGCAGTGTGGTAGGTACTCGCAGGGCTGCTGCTAGTTCCAGTACCAGCAGCACCCGCAGCAGGGGCAGCAGCAGCCACTCCCCCCCTTTCACCTCCTCCACTGTCACCACCACCCGAGTGTGAAGAGCCGTGCCCATGCTTGTGCTGTGCGCTGGGTCCCGTAGGCAGATGCTCGTGCACAGGCGCGTACAAGTGCTCGTGGTGTGTGCTGGGCCAGGTGGGCACGTGCATCTGCCCATGCCCATGCTCCTGCTCAACGCCCTGCCCCTGCTGGAGACCATGCTCCTGCCCATGCTGGTACCCCTGCCCATGCCCATGACCGTGCTCGTGGTGCAACTCTACCTCATCGCCGAACAGCTTCTCCGCAGCACACCCACTCGCCCATGCGCCATGCGCGTACGGCGCCTCCACTGGCACAAAGCTGTCCTCATCCTCCTCCTCCTCTTGAGACCTCCGCCGCTGCTGCTGCTGCAACCCCTGCCGCTGCTGCTGCTGCTGTTGCCCTGCTCCTCCTCCTCCCGCGTCCGCCTTCCCAGCGGGTCCGCTCCAAGTCACACCGCTCTCTGCGTAGTGCTTGATCTCCGCCTCAGTAGGCTCCAGGGAAGCCACCACGGGCGGCACTGGCATGTCCACCAGCATCTCATACCGCCGGGAAGCCACAGGGGGGGTAGCAGCAGCAGGTGTTGCCGACGCATGCTGCTGCTGCTGCTGCTTCTGCTGTGGCGGTGTGTCGTCAGGTGCCTGGAAGTACCTGCGGTAGGGCACATCGACATCAGACAAGCCAGGCACCGGCATGTCCACCAGCATCTCATGCCGCCGAGGCATGAAGGGTCCAGGTGCTGCTGCTGCAGACCCGGTTCCAGCAGTTGGCTGCTGCCGCTGCTGCGGCTGCTGTTGCTGATGAGCCTGCAGCTCCGATGCAGAAGGAGTGTTCCCCTGAAGCTGCTCTACATACCCTCCTTCCCCCTCCTCGCTCCCCTCCTCCTCCCACTCGGGGACCTCTCCCCCGCCTATGGCGACTGCTGCTGCTGGTGCCTGCTCCTTACTCTGCTTCAACAACGTTCTTTCTTGAATCTGCCCTGCCCGCCCGGATGCGGGAGACTGGGCGCTGGTGGTGGACTGTGGCGCCCCCGCTGGTGCTCCTTCTCCTCCTGCGACTCCTGCTGCTGCTGCTGCTGCTGCTGCGTCCTTACCGCTCCCCCCCTTGGGGGTGCCTCTGGGCGTGAGGATGGACCCTGCTGCAGCTGCCGCAGCGGATCGGATGTGGCTCAGTCCGAACGACAGGCTCCTCTTGCGGTGCTCCTGCTCTGACTGACCAGCAAGGGAGGGTGATGCACTGCTGCGACTGGGAGAAGCGGGAGCAGCAGGAGCGGGAGCGCTCCCGGAAGCAGAGGCAGGAGCAGGTGCAGCAGCTGGAACAGCAGTGGGAAGGGAAGCCGGATGGACAGGCGAGCTGCCTGCAGACCTGCTGGACGGAGTATTCCCCACGCTCGCACGGCTCTCACGGGTCGCACGCACGGCCTGCTTGAAGGATTCCTCTTCCCCCTCCTCCGTGGCCTCCGTGGACTGCTTGTCTGCAGCCTTGTGCGCTCGTGTGACGGCTGTCTTGGACGATCCCGGCTGTACTGGCTGCACGACGTCTTCCCACGGGCTGTCTCCCAGGCTGGACTCAACCGGGCGCGGCACACGCACAGGCGTGGCCGATGCGGCAGATGCGGCAGGGGAATTCGCAGCCGCGATAGACGCCGCGATGGACGCCGCGTCAGTCGGCGCCAAGGCCGAGGCTTCGCCGCCTTCTTCCGTGATGAACTCGCTGGCGAGGATCCGACGGCTGCCGCTCACGCCGGAGAGCGGCGATGACGGCGACGGGTTACCAACGCGGCGAGATCCCCTCGCTGCGAGTTCGGGCGTGCCGGGGACTATGTTCGAAGCAGGCGAATCGGGCGAAGCTGCTGCGGCCGCTGCTGGATCCGTCGTCAGAGGTGTCGCGACGGTGGCGCTCGAAGCAGAAGCAGTGCCACTCTCGTCGCGCGGATCACCCTTGTGGTGAAGGGTGGGAGCGAAACCGGCTTCCGAGTCAATCTTCATCCGTGAAACAGGGACGCCGCGTCCGACGGACTTGTGCGTCGAGATCCCGCCGCGCTTGCGCTCTCAACGCCAGCAGAAACCGACGGAAACAAGTCGCGCTTGAAAGGAAGCAGGTGCAGCAGCACTCGAACGAGAAACTGAATTTCGAACTGGGCTTTGGGCTCAGGAAAGCAGAGAATTCCGTGCCGCACAGCGGATGAATGCAAGCGAGCGGAGACGAAAGCCCTGGTTTTATGAGGATAGGCGGCAACGGCCTTTGGAGAAGAATAGAGAGTACGCTCGGGTGATGGTGGAGGGGGGGAGAGAGGCGCCGAAGGCTGACGTGACGTAGCGAGGCGGGTGGGTTCGTTCGCACTCGCATACCACCACGCCGCCGCGATGCTTTGAAGATTTGAGGATCGCGACGCGTAATACATCGAGGCGCCATGGAAATGCGCGTGAGAGCCTGAGTCAGCGAATGCCACGTATGAATTCTGGGTCGCTGAAAGGTCATCTAAAAGCCTAGCGGCGACACGCAAGAAGAGTCTACCGTCAGATTCCGCATGCACTGCGGGAGAGCACGACAGCTTGCCAGCCAGCTTGAGTTATTTGTTGCCCCTTCCAGGGCTCGTTATTAGGTTCACATTCATAGTGTAAAAGGCAATTTCTGGTTTTTCAAATTCAATTTCACTCAGAATTGTATCAGCCAGGCTAAAATTTATCCCTAAAAGCCTTGCACCTGTATTCCAATTTCATGTGCAACTTCGTTAACTGCCTAGATCACATAAAATGGGTAAAATAATGCCAGAAACTCTTTAAACTTAACCTTTCACAAGACCTAATGGAACATGTAGCTAAGTATCAACGCATGCTCCCGGCTTTGAGAACATCAATCATGTTGAAAAGTGTCTTGCTGGTGTCTCCCTCCTTGATCTGCACATCAAAAGCATACATCCGTGCAAACACACATACACATGTTAGGTATTGAAAAATATGGTGTCTGTTGTGCACGTGCCATTAGACAAACTTTGGGTGAGCAAGGTTGACAATGCATGGTGCGTCGGGGGAGGGGGGGGGGGGGGGGGGGGGGTGAAGAATGACACAAGGCACAGTGCAGATGCATGGATGCAAGGGCGCATGACCTTCTGAGCGAGGAAGAGCACGGCATCAATGGCGCCATCGGCATAGATGCTGCGCCCACACACGTTGTGCTGGAACTCAAATGACACCCTGCATGTGCTCGTGCACGGGCATGCGACGAGACAAGTACGGGTGAGAGAGGGAGAGAGAGAGAAGGTGAGAAATAGAGAGCTATTGGGAAGGGACGGGGGACGAGGGGGTCGTGAGATATGCGAGGTGATAAGGATCGCAATGGCTGCGGTGAAGTGATGCAGGGAGCGTGCAGGGGAGGAAAAAGGAGAGAATGAGAATAAGGCAAGTGAATAGCGACGGAAAAAAGACAGACAGGTAAATGCTCTATCCATTTGGGCGGAAACTTTTCACAACACTAGGTGCTCGCTCCTTCCCACCAGCCCTCCCAACTCCCATCTCTCTCCATCCCTCCCACTCACTCCTACTCTTCCCCACCTCACTTTCCTTCCCATCCCCCTTCCCTTCTCGTCCTCTCTCAACCTCCTACCCCCCATCCCGTTCGCACGTGTTATCGGGCGAGTCGAGGTGGTAGGTGTGGAAGGCGTGGCCGTTGAGGTAGTTCTCTGGCACGCCCATGCGCGCCATCTGCTCCGATGGGTCGCGCACCATCTCGATCTGCACGCAGGCGCGCAGGGAAGGGACAGCACGTGGGGAGAGGGGGAGAGAGGAGGTGAGGTGAGGGAGACAGGGGGGGGAGTGGCACCCCCATGCGCCCATGCGCGACATTTGCTCTGATGGGTCGCGCACCATCTCGATCTGCATGCAGGCGCCAATGGGAGAGGAAGGGAGGGGAGATAAGGTGAGAAAAGGGGAAGGAATAAGCGGCATGCGCCCATGTGCCCATGCGCGCCATCTGCTCTGATGGCGCAAAGGAGTGGGGAAGAGGAGGCCTGGTTCTGGTGAGCTGCCCAACGAAGAGATGTATTTGCGCGCGTGTGTGTGTGTGTGTGTGGGGGGGGGGGGGGTAAGTGAGAGCACGAGCACGAGTGCGAGTGAGTATGGGTGTGCGTGAGCTTGTGGATGTGAATGCACGCGAGAGAGGACGGGTAGAGGGGTGGACGGCAGGCGAAGGGAGAAGAGAAAGGGACGGAAAGGAACAGGACGGGACGGGACGGGACGGGACGGCACGGGACGGGAAGGGATGGGAAGGGACGGAAGGGAAGGAACACAACGCGCATAGCATCGCGGGAAGGAAGTGCGCGCGGCTCACCATGCTAACGTCATATTCGACCCCGAGCTTCTGGAAGCACCGGACGGCCTCCTTGGCCGTGCCTGACGTGTCCACCTTGGACGACTGGTGTGACTCCACCACCTGCATTGCCGCCGTTGCATTCATTCGTGGAGGGCAGCACAGGCACATTCGGATCAGCGCACAGCAGAGAGCGATGTTGCAAAGAGGCAGCAGAAGAGCAAAGAGGTGGTATACGGGGTCGATACGACGATACCTGCACAGGAGAGAAGCAGAGAGGCATTCCCGGGACAGGTAGGGAAGGAAGGAAGCAGAGGGAAGGAAAGAGGACGAGGAAAGAGAGTGAGAGGGGACTGCTTGTCAATGCAGGCTGTGAGGGTGAAAGGACGAGGGGTGGAGAGAGGATGGGGACACGGGGGTGGGAAGGGTAAGGGGATAGAGCGAAGGAAAGGCGGGAAAGGGGTGTAGGATAAGTTCGTGCGTATTTTTTGAAGCACTGCTCCGCGAGCGTCTCGTCTGAGTCGACTCAGAACCCACCTTGAGCTTGTAACCCGCGTACGCGCCCGGGCACTGCTCCGCGAGCGTCTCGAGCGCGGCGAGGAACGCGACGACCTGCTTGCCCATCTGCGGCGCGATCACCGCGTGCAGCCTGCTCGCCTCCACGTCCGCCGCCAGCTTCGCGCGGTCGCCGCCCGTCGTGCCCATCACGAACGGCACGCGGTTCGCGATGTACCACTCCGCGTTGCCTGGCGCGCGCGCGGGGAGGCGGGGGGGAAGAGGGGGGAAAGAGGTGAAAAAGAGGGGGGGAAGAGGGGGGGAAAGAGGGGGAAAAAAGGCGGGGTGAGAGGGGGGAAAAGAGGGGTCGAAGAGGGAGGAAGAGAGGAGAAAGTGAGGGGGAGAAATGCGCGTGATGGGGGGACGGAACAGGATGGGATCGGATGGTTGCGTGTTTTACCAAGCTTCTTTCACCTTCCTACAAGCCTGTGACCATCCGTTACTTCCTCTCGGTTCTATCCCTGCTGTCCCCCTCCCCACTCTTCCACTACCCCCGTTCCCCAGACTCCCCCGTCTCCCCCCATCCCCCATTTCCACCGCACACCACCCATCCCACGCCCAGCTTCCCCCCCCCCCCCCCCCGCCGCTCACTGTTAACGGCGGCCGGCAGCGTGTAATCCACGACGATCAGATCCGGGTACTCCTTGCGCGCCTCCGCCAGCACGGCGTCGCGCTCGTTGGAGGGGAACACGTCCACGAACACGGACGCGTCGTCGTTGTACGTCAGCCGTTCCTTGGGCAGCCCTGGGCCCGTCAGCCCGAAAGGCACGATCGGCACGTCCGCCGCGATGGCGGACTGCGCCACCGCGCGCCCCATCTTGCCTGGCGCGCCGTTGATCTGCGCCGCGCGGGGGAGGAAGGGGGGGAGGGGGAGGGGGAGCGGAGAGGAACAGAGAGGGAGGTTGAGTGGGAGAAGAGAGAGCAAAAAATCCCAGGGCATGCGAAAGAAGAGCTTTAGAATGCTTCCAGATGCGCTCACCATAAAAGAAAAAAACATAACAAACGAAAGAAAAGGTCTGTGTTTGTACTACAGAAGTTGAGCACAAGCAAAACCGGCAGCAGTAGCAGCAGTGCCTGACTGAAGCAATAGTTTCCGAGGGTGAATGGACTTTCAATGCTTTTTCATTAATGGTTTCTTTCGATCTTGTCAGAACGCCACTCACCAGTATCGCCACTTTCTTTGCTGATTCCGCCATAGCCACCACTGTCAACGAACCCCTCGACGTGGCAGCGCTTGAATGCGCCAACGATCGCTGGCGCAGCGGTGCCGCTAGATTCGCGCTGAGGGAATGCTCAGCGCCGCTCCCGGCGCCGGGACACCGAAGAGAGCAGCGCGCAGAGGGCCGGCTTTGGCGGTTTCGGGAAACAGGAGTTGCTGCAAGAGCTGAACTGGCAGCGGCGCGAGCAGCGACAGGTGCCATGGTGAGAGGCGGGAGTATAGGCACGAAGAACCGGAGAATCCAGCGAGTAAAAGTCAGGTGGTGAAACGAGAAATGAGAAATGGTGGAATTACGGGTGCAAGCGTAACTGGTCTGGACTTTCACATTTGCTTGAATCCCTCCCTGCTGATCTTTGGTTGTGGGGAGGGATGAGAGGGGAGCGGAAGCGCGTTCAACCTATCGGAAAACGACTGAACCGAACTGAACGATCATGTGACCAGCTCACTGCTGTGAAGGGGGAGCAAGCGACTCGGCGGTCTGCAAGCAGGGCATGCTATGCTGCCGTGGCATGTAATGTGATTTTGGATGGAGTGTGAGACGGAGCTTGCGTGGAGGTGGCACGAAGAGCGGATTCCTTTGGTTTGTTGACACGGCCAGGTGTGTAAGATCTGCCCAGTCATTGACGAGCAGTTTCGTCAGGGGCGGAGGTAAGCGGAATGTAACCAATCCGTGTTGCTGGCGATGAGGTATTTCATTGGTTCGAATAAAGATCGTAGCCGTCAAACGGCTGACTTCGAACGAAGGTGAGCTGGCACCGTATTATGTTCCTAGTATTGCTGACCAAGCGGAAGATGGGGATTATGCTTCGTTAATGGTTGACTCGAAGTGGGAAGCTTGCACACTTCCCCAGACTCCACACAGTTGCTGTACTCAGATGATAGCGCATTGAGGGCTGCTTTGATAGTCACTCCCTTCAATACCCAGTGTCAGCTCAGATTTTAGAAGTCACTGCAACCTATGGTTGCAGAACTTACACGTACCTTGTTATTTAAAAAAACTATAAAAAAAAAGGCTCCATGAAGGAAGATGTGTGCCAGGCATGAATACATCATTAAATGCAAAAATAAGCCTCGTTCTGCAGCTAGCAATAAAGTGCATCGTCGGGAGGTGGTCCGAACAGGTGGCCCCAAGAAGGGGGGACACACCAGTCGACAGAGGGAACGCTTGGCCTGTCATAATGCATACCTGCAACAGGCAGAAGAAGGTCCAGGATAAGGGTTGGTGAATAGTCAAGCCAACATGAAAGACCCAGCCAGGCAAGCTGTATGTGGGCAACAGGCTCACAGCCACACGTCACTACATAGATTCGACAAACATCAGGAGCACAACGCATCTGACTGGCACTGCACTCCAGACTTGCTGATTCAGCGCGAGAGAGCTAGAGTTGGAATATTTTATGATAGAAAGAGGAATCGGGGGATGAAAACTGCAACAGTACACAAACAGCTTAACATCAGACACCTACCATCCATGCTTCCAGAAGGTTCAGCGATTGGTGGAGCAGAAGATGGGAGTAGGGATGACGGCAGAAGGGCAGTGAGGCGTTCTGCTAGGTGAAAAGCATCTGGCACATTGTCTCCCTCGGAGCAAAAAACGAGGAGTGCAATAGAGGGAATGTTCACCTCCTGTGGGAAGGAAAAGGAAAAGACGAGTCATAACTTAACAAATTTTGCCAACTTCTGTCAAGTCTGTGACAAAGCAGCAAGGATATGCGAGCATAGTGATGTAAAGCATGCACATACCCCAGATATTGATTCAAAATAGAGCAAGATAAACGGAAAAAATAATCAGACATCCTCTACTCCTCTTACTCTTAGTGCAATGCAGATGCGGAGAAAGGCAGCTTTCCACTTTAGTCCTTGCTCAGGCCCCCATTCACCACCCCTCAACGGCCCCGGATCCTCTTCACCCTCTTCCCCTGCCATAACAGCCTCCTCTTGTTCTGGCTCCATGTGACCTTCATTCCCTCTCTCCCCTGTGCTTGTTCCAGAACCATCAGCACCCGTTGGAAGCGAGGAGGAAGCAGAGGGAAGGCCACCAAATGGATCGCAGCTCTCTAGAGGTTTCCAGCCAAGAGATTGAAGGAGAGACGTGCTGAACGATGCAGATTGAGTTGGTTCAGGCGAGGAAGATGAGGGAGGGGAGGCGGGCGGGGGCAGGGACGGGTCTACAAGGAGGAAACGAAACTGGTCCCTGTAGAATAAAAAGGGAGAGAGACAGGACGATGTCAGACGAAGTTACAAATGAAGAGTGTAACTCCTTGCCCCGAGTGCACGAAAAACATACTGAATTGAATCATAAGACACACGATGTTTTGGTTGGTTGATATCTCGCTCCAAAATTTGCAGATGCAGCTAATTTGCACTGGTGAGAGGCTATGAGAAGAGAGAGATGGAATTGGCCTTGGAAGAAAAAGGAGGGACCGACCCATCAATTTGAGGAGGTAGCCTTCGCTGCGCATCGGCTCCAGAAAGAACCACCACTCGAGAAAACGCCTGTGATGTTGCCCAGGTGGCTAGATTGCGAGAGAATTCCTCCATCCTGCCCTGAAGGGTTGGTGGAGACATGAGAGAGACACTGATGAACGTGGAGAACACAGAAGGTAATGGGCGAATGGTGGTATGGAAGGCTACACGGTAGGTGATAAGGGGGGATGACAGAAGTATGCAAGCGTGTGTATTAAGGTCCGGCAAAAAGATGGAGTTTATTTAAGTGGAATATGTGCTTACCAGTGCCACTGGAGATCGTTGCTGTATAATGGTGAAGGCATCGGTGAAAGGAGGAGAGGTTGACTGCGATTTGGGCACTGCAAGAAAGACTGTGATGCAGTGTAATGCATGATGAAAAAAGAAAAATAAAATTAGGATGAAAATACAGTAGCCTGACATCGAAGCACAAGGTGAGTGCATGGTACCGTTGCACACGAACCTTCCATGGCTGTTGTCAAGCTACCTGGTGCACTCAGCCCCATCCCTCCGGCTCCCCTGCCTCCCACGCTGTAGGGGTCGTTGCCTGCACATGGCAGCACATTGGGCTCCTCCAACCAACCCACACGTGCGATGCTATAGCCTCCCTGGCTCTGCTGCTGCTCCTGCTGCTTCTGTTGGTGCTGCTTCTGTAGCAGCGTTTCAAGGAGCAGGTCCACTGTGAGCTGGCCTACGTTCCCCACGGACACTGAAGGCTGGACAATTGGGATAGGGACGAAAGGAGCACAAGTGAAGACTTCGGCAACAAGGGAGAGAGACGATCGACAGTGCGAGATTTATCAGGTCTAGCAGGTGGTACTGTGGATGGAAGACCAACATGATGGGAGGTTCTTTCCGACCTGAAGGAAGGGCGATGAGCAGACAACAATTGACTCTACTGCTCATTGACACCGTGCAACTCTCGATCATCATCGCGGAAAAGCCAGAATCCAAAGGAAAGAGAATACTCGAGGTTGACAACTAGCGCTCAGCCCCGCATGATACATACGAGACCCTTGAAATCGAAGCTTTGCCATGTACGCACGAGATCGACGGAGAATTTCCGGCTACGCGACCAATCAGCAGTTTCAGGCTACGAATCACGAAGCGGGCATCTGTGACAAACAATCAGTCCGGTAACAATTTACTGACATACACACCTGAATGATCAGCTGAGACGTACCAGGACGAGCGTAGATCCAGCGAAGGGCCTTGGAGATTCTAGTAAATTAAGGCCTCTCGTCGCATCGCTGGCGTCTCTGAAGAACTCCATTCTATAACAGAACCCAATTTGCTGGGAGTAAAGGAACCCGTTTTTTTTGTGAGGGCACCAGTCGACCAGAACCCAAAGTGCCGTTACATACACTTTATAAACATTCTGCACATTTTCTAATGTGCACGAAGGATTTCTCCTTTACAGCAGATACCGTTTCGAAACTGCTGCTGCACCCATCCATTGCCTTTCAAACAAAGTTGATGAGAATTATATCCTGCGATTCGGGAATCCAGCCAAGAGATTGCTTCTGCTCCAGATGTTTTTACCCAATGACAAATTCAAGGAATGACCTTCAAAACAGCAAACTTACTCTGGCTGTGGTGGTCATTTCTCCTTTCAACTTTGCTGCGGAACGATGCCGACTGGAATTTCGCGTGGCGGGAGGACAATGAGGGAATGGGTATGCCAAGTTCATAACAAATTACGCCGTAGCATGCATTTCCATCATCGTTGCAAATGCGCAGGTAATGGATTCAATATTTCCCTCGAGATCCAAGTGTTTCCACAAGACAAACCTGGAAAGCGTGTCAACAGTCTATTCGAATTTGGCTGGCTTTCTCCCTACAGTGTGCTCGCTGGAGGCAGCCATTGCAAGACTCTCAAAGTCGTTAGACGGTAAGGTAAAGATGCTCGTCAGACTCTTGGTCTTGAGAGGGAAGTCTTAATCACCTTTGATTTCAGGTGTGTTTGAAGTAGCCCTCTCAGGAACCGCTGTCGAGCTGCCCGAGAAGCCAGGGACTGCTGTTGTTTTGAAGGTTGCAGAAAATGACAACCACGGACAGTCTATGTCCTCACTGCACGAGGCGTCTGCGCCTAGTGAATCTGATATGGACATGAAGGCATCGTCAAAGCGTTATTTCACTGACCCGTCGCTGTCGTCCAGCATAGAACCATTGAGACTGCAGCTGGTAAGTGAACTGTCGGCGAAGAAGAACTTAATCTTCAGAAACGATAAAATTTATTTTCCGGGTTCTTTTCAGGGTTCCGATTTGTTTCATGCAGCTCTCGTACCTCTGCGGACCTGGAAAGAATCGTTTGGAGCTCTTCCGGTAAGGCTTTAGAGACAAGCGTCAGGAAAAGCAACCTGGTAATTTTCTCATGCACACGGAAATACTTTCTTGCAGGGGAAGCTCAAGCTCTTGGAAGCTCATGCATATACCCACGACCTAAACCGTTATCGTCACAACATCCTCGTCCAGAAAAAGTGTTTCTTTAAGGGCAGCAAAGCGTCAGAACGAAGGCTACTGAGGCTAGAATCGGTAAGTAATTTGTGCTCATCGGGTATGTGAAGGTTGTGTTTCTGCTATAATCGTGGTTGCACTGCCTTGCAGGACCTGCAACAAGCTGAAATGAGGATGCGTGCCAGCAGAGTGGTGAGTTCACTGCACGCAATGAACATGCTCACTCAGTCTTGGCGTCCGCTGAAAAATGGGGATGTGGCAGGCCTTTCTTACGCTTGAACGAGGACTCCTTGAAGACATGGAACTTCTTCTGGCAGAGGCACGACGAATGCCCTCAATTTTGACTCAGGCGAGTACCTGCACCGTACCTGCAATAGTGCCGTAGTTCAAGCTGTTGCGCCTGTCTGCTAAACAGTTCAGGCATGTGCAGGTGTGTGGCACAACAAGTGAATCATTGAAGCATCTTGAAGGTCTTGGTAATGTGATGGATCAGTTGGAGTCACCAGTAGCCAGCAGATACTGACTATCTACTGCATGAAAAGCAACTGTCCACTTCTTCCGGGCTGTGTGCCAGGAATGTGCCCATTACTTATGGTTGCAGATAAGTATTTTTACATTTGCCAATGTAGCACAAATATCGGTACACTTACAGAATTGAATTGATTGTTTAAGTGTTACCAATACTAAAGCAAAAATATACCGTACACTCTTGCGTCACAGACGACATCAAGAGTGTAAAATCAGGTGCGGGGGGCAGGTAATGAGGAGGCACTCATCTTACTGACTAAGTATCAACCGAGCACAACTGGTAACATTCCTGGTCAGGTAAGAAAATTGAACAGGCTTGCTACAAGGCACTATGCTGAGCTGTGCATGTTGTTTCCTAGCTCTACTCCAGCAGCACCCCTCTGCACCTTGTCACCCCCCCCATAAAATGGAAAACACAAGACCTCCAGCCGCACTACTGCTGAGCACACTGCACTCTGGGCCCTGCATCCTCGTCATCTTCATAAGCCTCCTGAGCAGCCTGAGCCTTCCTCCGCATCTCCTCCTCCATGTTCACATCATGCATTGTAGTCTCCTCGCAATTGTCCAGCTCCATGGCCGACATAGCAGGTGCGGGTCGAGGAGGCAGAATTGTCTCCAGTTGAGCGCATTGCTCAGGCGTGAGTGAATCAGGAAATTCTACATTGAACTGGATGTAGAGACGGCCCTTCATGAATGGGCGTGTATGCTGAGGCATACCCTCATCATTGATGGCCTTGAACTCCTCTGCAGGGGATGATCAGATGGGTTGTGGGATTATTACCGAAACGTAGAGTACAAAAAAAAAAACATGTACACATGCATCCACGTGTCACGCACACCTTATAGCAACCAGACAGTAGGAACACTCTGACCAGGGTCAGAAAAAGGTAACGTAACACAATACGACGAACAAAGGCAGGAAACTCATGCGACGTACTTGGCTTAATAATTTCGCCGGGTGCTGATTTGATGAGCAGCTGGCGGCCATCAAGGTGTGTGAGAGGGAACTGGAAACCACAGAGAGCCTCAGTGAGGGTAAGGGTGTGCTCAATGAACAAGTCATCTCCCTTGCGCTTGAAAACGGAGTGCTCCTTCTGCTGCAGAACGAACACAATGTCCCCAGTAACAGTATCCGGCTGCACAAAGGGACAGATGAAAGGGAAACGAATTAATGGAGGTGACACAAACAGGCGACACATGCTTTCCACAAGAACATTATGCTAGCTGGCAGAAAGATATCGCACCCATAACCTACTGCTATGGTCTATAATCTTACCGCTTCATCAGCCTCTCCAGCGAAAGTGATCTTCTGGTTGTGCTGCATGCCCTTCTCCACGTGCACGTCCAGAAGCTTCTTCTCCTGAGCCACCTTCTGCCCCTTGCACTGCCCGCACTTGTCCTTCTCAGAGATAACCTCACCTGGAGAGTTACGAACAAGCAAGCAGTCCATTTTTTTTTCAAAAGCGGTTAAAAACGGGCAATGTACGAGACCGTCAGTGATTCTTTGCATCATGACAGAAACATCTCCGTCAATTTGAGAAGAACCGACCGAAGTGACCTGACCTAAGTCGACCATCCCAAGTGTCCTACACAACAAGGACCATGTCTGTACAAGACTTCAAATCTGAATCAGCAATGACTAGTTGGCCTGCCATAGAGCGCGGAGCATACCTGATCCTCGGCACTCGGGGCACACGTGCTGCATTTGTTGGATCATGCTGGGACCCAGCTGCCGGATGGAGATCTTCATGCCCGACCCCTGGCAGCTGGCGCACTGGCTCGACGCGCCGGACTTGGAACCCTTGCTGTAGACACGGAGTGGCGGCGGAGAGGTGGGAAGGGAACACCAAGATAGAGAAGAGACTGAGCGAGAACTTCAATACTAAATTCACCGCGAGGCTGAAACCAGGCAGCAGCGTAAAGTTCTCCACAAAGCGCTTCGAATTCTTAAGTAACTGTTAATCATGAACGCTATTCTGATTACCGATTATGGGCAAACGTCGAGACTAATTTCGCCCGGTAAGATTCAACCAGCGTTAATTCCCAACATCCCAGCCACATAACAGCTAGCAAATAAGCGCGTGTTCCGCCACAAATCAACGGCGCGGACTCACCCTTTGCACTTGGGGCAGAGCACGTTGCGCGAGAGCGAGAGCTTCTTCGTGGTGCCATTATACACGTCCTCCAAGGTGACCTTGAGCGGATGCACCACGTCCTCTCCCCTCCGCTGCCTCCGGCTTCCCCGCCCGGAACCTGCCGTTGGGATTCGACACGACGAGAGACGAGCGAAAACGTCAGCGAAAGCCCCACGGATAAACGCCTTCTAGCGACAATAGTGGATGGCGAGAACGAAGACGAGAGAAGACGGACAGCGAGAAGAAGAGCAGAAAGAACCACTTCGCGTCCGCGAGTGACACAAAGGGATTAATGAAAAGGGATTAGTGTTGAGGCGATGGACAGAAACTACGCACCGAAACTGCCGCCGCCGAAGGGATGGCCGCCAGAGCCGAAGAAGGACGAGAAGATATCGAAGGGATCGTGCATTGGCCCTCCGGCTCCCTCCTTCAGCGCGTCCTCGCCATACTGGTCGTAGATCTCGCGCTTTTCGGGATCACTCAATACCTCGTACGCTTGAGCCAGTTCCTTGAACTGATGGGGTGGAGCGCACAACGTAGGAGGAACAGGATAAAACCAGATGCGGTTAGATATATTCGGTAATTATCACGGTTACTGGTGAGAAAGTAAATCAGTGGGAAGGCACGAAAACCCTAGCCATAGAGGACAAACGGGATTGCGTAAAAGAACGGATGATGCCGAAATCCAGTGTTAATTGCTTCGAAAGTGTGTAAGGCAACAAGGCGGACTGACGAAGGATAGTGAATTGGCGTGGAAGAAAGAAGCGACAAGTGTCTCGGCAACGAGTGAGAGTGAAACAAGGAGGGGGGGAAGGGAGGAGATCGAATGACAAGCGTGGGAAGAGAGAAGTGGGAGAGAGTGGAGAGCCAGGGAGGAGTCGAGAGAGGAGCGAGAAATGGGCGGAGGAGAGGGGGAGGACATGAATTATATTAGAAATAAAAGCGAGAGAACGCTAGAACTCTGAAGGGGAGAAAGAGAGAACGGCCCGCAACAGTTAACAGGTAGACTCACCTTCTCTGGATCACCGCCTTTGTCGGGGTGATTCTTAATCGCAGCCTTGCGATACGCCTTTTTCAACTCATCGGCCGAAGCGCCTTGAGGTACGCCGAGGACCTCATAGTAACGCGTGTTGTTGCTCTTCTTCGACGGTTGTCGACCAAACATCTTCCCGCCTCTTTCTAGTCAAAACTATTAAGAGCACAAGCGCGAGCTGAACAGAACCAGACAACGGAGAAACCAGATCCTCGGCGTCCCCCGAAAAAAAGGTGGCCAACGGCAAGCTAGAGACACTGGCCTAGCAGCAGCGAAAGAGCCCGCGACTAGGCTGAGACTCTAGATCCGCGAGAGTTAGATCTGGAAAGAGGAAGCTGAAGTGGTGTCGCTCGTGTGGTTGTCTGAGGGAGATTGACAGACAGCTGACGGAACAAATGTAAAAAAGTTTTCCATTACGTTAGCGTCTGTCTCGTGTGACACCAGTGCGATCGCAGAGTGGAAGCAGCGCGAATGTTTCTGGCGACCAACCGAAGCTGTCTCTAGAAGCCAATCAGAGGCTCAACCAGTGTGCGGGATGCCCCGGTCCGAACCGCCACTAGAAAGTAAACTGCCCTATTTTGAGGTTCGGACGAGATTCTGGGCAGGTTTGAAAGCCTTTGAAGTGAGAGGGATGAATTTCCGCTGGAGAGGCTGGGTGAAACTTTCGGGGTTTTAGGCAGGGAGAGTTTTGGTTGGGACTACTAGTGGACGAACAAACCCCATGAGGTCCGAGAAGCCTGCAGTGATGTGGGAAGCTAAGAGAACCTTCTGGAGCGAACCTCTGCCAGACCGACAAATCTCTCCCTGCCCGATCACGAAGTCGAGATTCTCGAGAGGGGGAGCCTTGTGTCGCCAGGCGCTTTTCCAAAGCAAAATGGTCGTCACCGCTGCGAAAAAGCCGAGGCAATTCCACTCTGTGCGATCACGAATGTTCTCGTGAGACTGTGAGAAGTTCGAGGGTTGAGAATGTGCCACGTGGAAGAGTCGACGCACAGATTTAGGACAATGTCGAGGATGAACTTTCCAGAAACTTCAGCATTGATATGCACCGTCGATGGCATGTCTTGTGGAACAAGGCGTTCCTGGGTGAAATGACACTGCGTAACAGCTCACACACAGAGTATTGCCATTAAATTTGGTCTAAAAAAACAGCCTCCCAAGCACTGAGCAATCAACACAAGAAATTTAGGTATGAATACACAAGTAAATGCATGAGAAATTTCTAGATGATAGAGTTACCTTTTGTAGCATATTATTAAAATCTTATAAAGGTTCCATATGTTACATGACATGCTCTAATAACATGTCTAATACCGCATTACTCCATTTGGGCACTTGACATGACAAGAACTGTTGTGGTCGTCAAACCCTCGGCACTGGGGAAAGCTATGGTTCCTCCTGGCCTGGGCAGGGCATTCTAGTAGCCGCTCGCTCCACGTGTGTCGGCGCCACACCCTCCAATGTTCTCTGCAGACCAGGAAAAACAGACCGTTTCCCACAGCGTGTGGAAATAGATCGGCAGAAAAATATACCTTGATCACTCCCTCCCTAGCCTCCATCACTTGATTTTTTTTTTTCGCTCTCACACTCCTGCCCAGCAAACGTTAGGGACAGTGGAGCCACACATCCCAAGTTCCCAACCAGCCCGCACCAAAACCAGAACTACACGTCCTACACAATATTCCCTCCCTCACTTTCCCTGCCTCGTTGTTTCCCTTGCCTGTCGCACCTCCAGCACGACTGTGCTGTTGAGGACGCTCGTTCCCCAGCGATCCTCCAGCCAGTCGTTTCGGGAGGTTTTGAGCTAACTATTGTGCATGATCTGGGGTTTCCTAGATCTGCTGGTCTTATTTCGTCCGTCGCTGTTCGTGCAGCAGGGCTAGCACGCCACGATAGGATAAAATAGGATAGCAAAACCGCGACGTGTTCGCGGATCAGGCAATTCTTGGGAGGCTACAACGTCGCCTTTTTGGGACCGATTGATTCGGCTCGATCGCATTGCGTGACTGATCGCGGCGTTTGTGACCTTTCTAATCCAGTCAGGTATGCAATCGGGCTTTTCGATCCTAGAAGGAATTAATGCTTATTTTCCGCTGCTTTCAGTGCTTTCTCTGGACATAAAACGAAGATGCTGAGGCCGCATGAGTTCGGCATTCACCATTTGAAAATTCTATTACTCGTAAAAAAGGCCTCCTTAGCCGTTTCGGGGTTCTGGCTTTGATTGTTCTTTGATCAATTGTCACTTGATTGCCTTTCAATCGAGCGAACTTGCTGAAGGAATAATCTACTGTTAATGAAGGACACAGTTTCTTCCGCTTACAACCACTCCGCCCCGCGCCTTGTTAAATAAAAGTACGAGTTTCTTATTTTTTTGCGCCATCAAATTCTGTTCAACCGGACACGCCTCATGTTCCCTGCATTTAGATCCGATTATAGGGATCACAAACTTCTGTTGTACCTCGTCGTCGACTTTTGGGGTGCAACCGATTGTTAAACCTCCCCGACCCATCATCTACTAGTCAGCTCTTTTTGTCCTACCGAACGCCTTAATTACCAGCATCTTAAGACTGTCAAGCACAGACTTGCCCCGGCGCATAAGCGGCTGAGTATAATCCTTTCCTTTTAGTCATTCCGATCCGCCACTCCTCTTAGCAAACGGCAGATAATTTATCTCACCCTTCTTTTCCATCTCTTGTCTCGCTTCTTTCCGTGCCCCTCCTGCATTCAAGCCTCGCACACACAACAGAAACATATCCGATTGTTCTCCCGCCTGTTCCCCCTGCAGATCGCCGGCATGCGAGCGGACCCCAACCCCGCCACACCCTTCGGGACTGCTTTTGAGCAGCCTCAGAATAAAATTCATTATCATTCCCAACTGTCCTCCCGCCTTTCCCTGTCCCCCGCGGCTGTCCCTCTTGCAGATTGTCGACATGGGAGCGGACCCCAGCCCGCGCTACGCCCCTCCGGATCCCACGCTGCCCGCCCCTTGGAGGGGGTTGGTTGACGGCTCTACAGGCTACCTCTACTACTGGAACCCCGACACCAACCAGACGCAGTATGAGCGCCCGGGCGGGCCGGCTCCTGCCGGCGGAGGCGGGGGAGCGGCGGCGGTGAACGGCGCGAGCGCGAAGAGCGTGAATGGGGGACATGCGATGGCAGGCGATGGGGGAGCGCAGAAGACGGCGGCGGCGGCAGCGGCAGCAGCTGCGGCAGCGGTTGGTGGTGGCGGTGGCGGTGGTGTTCAGGTGAGTTGTTTCGCGCTTTCAGTGTGTTTAGGGTTTTGTCCGAGGCGCTTGTTGCACGCACTTGTTGTGTCTGGGTTGGAAGGGCAGTGAGGGTTGCGGTTTTGAACGCACTGGCCGTTTTTCTCGGATCAGACCTCTTTTTTTTTTCTTTTTTCTTTTCCAATCGTCCACGTCCGTGTATGCGCGCAGAATTGCTTGCTCCACTCGGCTTCTCTTCCTTTTGGCCCGTTCCGTCCTATCCGCATACCCTTCCTCGCTTTCTCAACTTCTCTTTGATGTACCACGTTTTCCCATCGGTTCTCCCCTCCTCCTGTATCCTTTTCTCCTCTCCCGCTCATGCCTCGCCATTGCAGCACGTCAACGGCGCGGCAGCGTCTTCCGATGACGTGGCGGCGTATAAGCGAAAACACGAGATTACCGTCGTGGTGAGAAGAACGTGCTTTTGTTTCACTTTTTCTCTCATTGCTAGCGTGCTTGCCTGCTCGCTCGCTCACGCGCCACTTTCCTCCGTTTCACTCCTTAGACCCGCGTTTCCCCGCCCCATCTCCCTCGTCGCGTTCGCGTGTTGTCCCTTCCTCTTTCTCTCCTTTCCCGGCCTACCTCATAGTTCGATGCACTTGTCACAGCTTCCCTCCATCTGTGCGTCGACTGGGTCTTGTGCCGTAGCCCCTCGATGTTTTCCTCACGCTGTTCTTGAACTTTGGTTTGTGTGCGCGACGTGTGTGGTGTGTGCGCCGAATGCGAGGTTGTGGCTTTGCGGGTGTGGCGTGTGTGCGGCGTGTGCGGTGTGCGAGGTTGTGACTTTGCGTGTGTGGCGTGTGTGTATGTGTGTGTGTGTGTGTGTGTGCGCGCGTGCAGGGATCGAACATACCGCCGTTTCTAACCTTCGAGTCTGCTAACTTCCCTTCTGACCTCTACCGCGAGGTACTTATCCTCCTCCCTCGTGCTCCTCCCCTCCCGCCTTCCTTCTTCCCCTCCCGCCTCCCCTGCTCCCTCCCACCTCCCTCCCCGCCTCGTTGCTCCCTCCCCCCTCCCATGCTCCCTCCCCCCTCCCATGCTCCTTGCCGGTTTGATGGAATTTAGTTTACTCTTTTAGAAGCTCTTGCTTCTGACCTTGGTCTCTGCCAAGCTATCAAGCTCTCTCGTTTGCACTTCATCCCCCCTCATTCTTGCAACCTTTACCGCCTTCTCCCTTCTTCCCCCCTTCCTCGCACACTCTCTCCACTGCTCTCTCATCCTATTCTCCTGTTTCATCTCTGCACCATCCCCCTCCCCCTCTCCCCCCCCTCCCGCTCCCTCCTCCCCCATCCCCCTTCCCGCCCCCTCCCCGTCCCCCAACCCCCTCCCTTCCCACTCCTCCTTCCCCCCGTCCTTCCGCTCCCCCCCAATTCCCCAGCTCAAGGCGGCGGGATTCCCCACGCCCACGCCGATCCAGGCGCAGTCGTGGCCCATAGCGCTCTCAGGCTCGGACGTGGTTGCCGTGGCTAAGACAGGCTCGGGGAAGACGATCGGGTACCTGCTGCCGGGGTTTGTGCACCTGCAGGAGCGGCGCAACAACAGCCGCCAGGGGCCGACGGTGCTGGTGCTGGCGCCCACGCGCGAGCTGGCTACGCAGATCCACGCGGAGGCGGTCAAGTTCGGACGGTCGTCGCGCATCAGCAGCACGGTGAGTGGCAGGGAGGGGCGAGAGGTAGAGGCGGCGAGAGGGAGAGGGGGCGAGAACGAGAGGGGGCGAGAGAGCGAGAGGGGGCGAGAAATAGGGGGAGCTACAGGGAGAGGGGGCAAGAGAGATAGGAGGAAAGAGTGAGAGCGAGGGAGCGAGAGGAGGTAAGCGAGAACGCACGAGAGAGCGAGAGGGCGAGCGAGAGCTGTGGAGGGAGATTTGCTGAGGCTAAGTTCTGAAGTGTCTCGAAACGAAACTGCTGGGTGCACTGGAGAGTATGCGCGTGCAGGGAAGATCCAATGGGTGTGTGGGGGGAAGGGGGGAACTTGTTGTTTCGGGGGTTTGAGGTTTTGTGGGAGGAGATTGTAGCAGAAAAACGACTTCGGAGTAGTGGATGGTATAAAGTTATGGAAGTGAGACGTGAGGAGTGGGATAGTGAGAGGGCGAGGAGTTGAAAGTTTTGCGCGCGTTACTTTTGAGAATTCTCAAAAGTAACACAAGTGTGGAGTCAAAGGTCTGTTGTGGCTGCTCGAAACTGTTGTGAAATGGTGTTTTGAAGTTTCGTTCCTTAGTAGTTATGATAGCGAAACCACACTACTGGTTTTACACTTCAGTTAGAACATTTGCTAAAGGTCCAAACTCCTGATCTTCTCCCAATTTGGACCCGCAGCTGAGGGAGCTGCAGTACAGGGCGGGCATTGTGATCGCCACACCCTATCACACCTCTCTTCCTCCTCCACCCCCTGCCTCCCGCCTCCCCCGTCCCCCCCCGCCCTCTTCCCCCCTTCCCCCTTCCCCCAGTGCATGTACGGCGGCGCGCCCAAGAACCCGCAGCTGCGCGAGCTGCAGTACGGCGCGGACATTGTGATCGCCACAACTTCTTGACGCCTCTCCTTCCCCCCACCCTCTCCCCCCTTCTCCCCCCTCCTCCCCGCCCGCCCACCTCCCGCGCCCTCTCCGCTTCTCCCTTCCCCCAGTGCGTGTACGGCGGCGCGCCCAAGAACCCCCAGCTGCGCGAGCTGCAGTACGGGGCGGACATTGTGATCGCCACGCCAGGCCGCCTCAACGACTTCCTCGAAGCCAACCAGATCAGCCTGCGCCAGGTGCGTGTGGGGGTGGTTGGTGGGGGTGGGTGTGTGGGTGTGGGGGTGGGGGTGGGTGTGTGGGGGTGGGGTTGGGTGTGTGGGTGTGTGGGTGTGGGGGTGGGGGTGGGTGTGTGGATGGGTGCGTGGGTGGGTGCGGGGGCGGGTGGGTGGGTGCGTGGGTGGGTGCGGGGGCGGGTGGGTGGGTGCGTGGGTGGGAGCGTGCGTGGGTGTGGGTGTGGGTGGGTGTGGGTGGGAGGGTGTATGGGTGGGTGCATGTGCGTTCGTCTGTTCGTGGGAGGCGGGGGGGGGGGGGATCGGACAGTCCCAGTCACACAGGACTGGTTGTGATCGCACATGTCATTGCTGTTGCATTTCTGAAGAAATGATCAAGACAGCTTATAATACTGCAAGTATGCCTTACTCCCCCCCCCAACCTATCTTCACCCCATCCTTCCCTCCGTCTCTCCGCCTCCCATCCCGAGTCATGCTGGTCATGGGGTTCAATCGGTGGTCCTTGTCTGTTTCGCTCCCTTGACTCCTCTTCCTCATCCCCTCCCCCCCTCCCTCCCGCCACCCCCCCCCCCCCCCAGGTGTCCTACCTGGTGTTGGACGAAGCCGATCGCATGCTGGACATGGGGTTCGAGCCGCAGATCCGCAAGATAGTGGCGCGCGTGCCCGGGCGGCACCAGACGCTCATGTACACGGCCACGTGGCCGCGCGAGGTGCGGCGCATCGCAGAGGACCTGCTCACCTCGCCCGTGCACGTCACCATCGGCAGCACCGACCAGCTCGTGGCTAACAAGTCCATTACTCAGGTAAGGTTTCCTTGTAGGATTTCCAGGGGAAAGGGCTGGGAAGAAAAGAGGTGGGAAGAGCGGGGATGGGGTATGGCCTACAGGACCCTTCCAACTCAGGACAGGACCATTCTGGTCCAACATCTGGGTATGCCGTTTTGGTCGCCTTCTTGTCCCCGTGTGGTCGCCCTTTTTGCAATGAGAAAGGGCGATGCTGGTTAGTTTCGTATGTTTGTTGCATGATGGACCAGGGTTCAGGGTTTTATGGTCAATGGCAGCTGTAGTAGCAGCAGCAATGGGAGAATGGGTCATTTTCAGTTGAGGCTAGAAGAACCCCTGTCTTTAAACCACTATGTATTCTTTCCCTTCCCTAACCGTTCTCTAGGTTGTTTAGTGCGATAAAGTGCTGTGATCAATCCCCTTGTGATATACGCGATACCAAGTCATAACCCCACTTTCCCCACTCCACGCTCGCAAAAGAACAAACCCCCCTCTCCCTCCCACATTCCCTTGCGTTGCATCCCTCGCCACCCATATTTCGTGTCCCCGTGCCCCCTCCGCTTCCCAATCTTCCCCCATCCCCGTTTCTTCACCCCTCACCCAACCCATCCACCCCTGACCTCCTCCTTGCAGATCATCGAGCTGCCAGCGCCGTACGAGAAGCAGCGCCGGCTGGAGCAGATCCTGCGTTCCCTCCCACGGGGCTCCAAGGCCATAGTGTTCTGCTCCACCAAGCGCATGTGCGACCAGCTCGCACGCTCCCTCGATCGCGGCTTCGGTGCGGCAGCCATCCACGGAGACAAGTCCCAGCCCGAGCGCGACCACACTCTGGCCCAGTTCCGCTCCGGCGCCATGCCGACTCTTGTCGCTACTGACGTCGCCGCGCGCGGGCTCGACGTGAAGGACATTCGGTGCGTGATCAACTATGATTTTCCCACGGGTGTGGAGGATTATGTTCACCGGATTGGGCGGACGGGCCGGGCTGGGGCGACGGGGACGGCGTACACGTTTTTCGGGCCGCAGGACGGGAAGTATGCGAGGGAGTTGATCAAGGTGTTGGAAGGGGCGGCGCAGGTGGTTCCTCCGGAGCTGCAGCAGATGGCTGCTAGTGCCGGGCCGGGCCGAGGGATGTCCAGATGGGGGGGTGGAGGAGGAGGGAGGTCTGGGGGAGGGTATGGTGGTGGTGGTGGGTATGGCGGTGGTGGTGGTGGGTACGGTGGTGGTGGGGGTGGGTATGGAGGAGGAGGAGGAGGAGGAGGAGGAGGAGGAGGAGGAGGAGGAGGAGGAGGAGGAGGAGGAGGAGGAGGGGGGGGGTATGGGGGTGGGGGTGTTGGGGTTGGTGGTGGGGGTTTGTCGGATGAGGCTGCGTCTGCTGCGATTGCATCTGCTGCTGCTGCTGCTGCCACCATTGCTGCTAGTGCTGGCGCTGGTCGTGCCGATGGTAGCCGATGGGGAGGGGTTGGAGGAGGGGGAGGAGGAGGAGGAGGAAGGGGAGGGAGCGACGATCATGGTCGTGGAGGGGGGAGGGCTGTGGGAGCGTATGGCAGCAGCGGCAGGGATCAGGACAAGGACGGGTACCGAGGCCGATCACCCCCAGGCAGGGACCGTGGGGGCAGCGGGCGGCATGACGACAGGGACCGGGATCGGGACCGTGATCGCGACGCTGATCGCTTCCCCAGCAGGAGAACCCGTAGCCGCAGCCGCAGCCCCAGCCGTACCCGCGGGCGCAGCAGGAGCAGGAGCCGCAGCAGGAGCCCTCGGAGAAAAAGCAGGGAGACGGCTCGCCGAGGCTCTCGCAGCCGCAGCCGATCCCGCTCCCCCCGCCGCCGCACCAGGAGCAAGTCCCGCACGCCGCCCAGCAGAAGCCGCCGCAGCAGCCGCAGCCCGCCGCCCGCCCGTAAGCGCCACAGCCGTAGCCGCAGCAAGAGCAGGAGCCCGGAGGCCCGGCGGCGCCGAACCTACAGCCGGAGCAAGTCCCCTGGTGGGAAGCATCGCAGCCCGGTGCGCAGTCCTGTGGGGAAGAAAGATTAGAAGTGTCAATGTGGAGAGAATTTGGCCTGTGGAGAATCTGCAGCTGGAAGTACGGTTTATGTTGGTGCGTGGGTATGGATGGCATTGGGAGGGAGGATGGTGTGGTAGGCTTCATGGAGGGATGGATGCTTTTTGAAAGGAAAGTTTTGCCTTAACCAAAAACAATTTTTTTGGTTGTGCAACTGTCCTAAGGATTTCTCTCATTCGTGTTAACGAGCTGGTCTTTTAAACTGAATATGCATGTACCATGAAGTGGAATCCGTTTTTGTGGTAAATATATTTGTGCTTATACCCATCTGATGGTCCTGGGTTCGGAAGTTAACACATGTTCACATTAGTTTGTTTATTACAAACCGTTTCATGCTCATGTGCACTTTTGTTCACAAGATCATCGTTGACCTTCAATCAACTGGAAATGGACGAATAAGGCTTCTAACGAGGGCGGACATTACAATGCGAGTTGAAACAAAAGCGAAATTTCGGCCAATCCGACGCGAAAACGGAACTCGACGGCGAGAGAAGCCAAGTCATCCACACTTTGCAGCGTCAGTAAAAGTGGAGTGGTTGCACGTGCTGACTGAATCGATCCACCTCGCTGCATTCTGAACCTGCGCTTCCCCCACTTGGTGACCTTCTGCTGGTGAAGCTCCAATCAGCCGTCACCTTCGGGCTCACCAAAGCTGGCGCGGATAGGCCAGAAATACTTCCGTTAGCGGGCTGACCAACGCACCGGCGACTTTTCAGATGACCATGAACGAGGCGTTTAGGCCGCTCTTAGATAAATGGGTTTGCTTTCGCTTCCGCTATTGCGCATGCGGTGGAGGGAGGGGGCACTGGGGAAAGGAGCGGGGGTTTCGGTGCAGAGGACTGACCACTTGGGCGCGCATGTGAAATTGATGATGTGGTGAAACCACATGTCTGCCTGCTTCGTGAGTCATGACACGCGGGAACTGGTGCTGAGTCGAACAGTACACACACTTGATGAAGCACAGCATGGAACAAACAAGTGGCCAAAATTACGAGCAGGGCAACCCAAATGTTTTACCTGAGCATTGTACACTGCCATGTGAGGTGGTTTACCGACCACCGAATGTTTCCAAGGAATTGGAGCTGAAGCATCTCCTACTCTCGCTTAGGGATACCGTTCCTCCCCCCCTCCCCGCTTCTCCATGCATGACCTCTTCATATTCCGCCTCTTCCAATTCCATCACTAGCAGGAACAATCAGGCAGGAAAACTTCTGACTTCCATAACCCTTCCTCTGACGCAACCCCAGGGACTCGCTGTTGCGTGCAAGCTTGGAACCCTGGTGTTTGTGAGTGAGCTCAGACAATCATTCATCACTTCTGCCAAGAAAGTGCACTGAGAGGCTAGAGCTCAGCCATACACCGGTTTTCGGGCTCTGCTTTCCCGCTTCTCGGTGTTTTTGCCAGGCCTCATGGCGGATCGTCCAGGCTTGTCGTAGCCGAATCTGCACCTTGCAGTTCAATGTTTCGTGCCTCGGCATATTCTGGGTGCCTAAATCGTAAATTACGATCAATTTCACATCCTGCTTAGGCAGCCAGATATGGTACTTTCGCTACGTTCGAGTATTCGTAACGGGAGTGAGGTGTCGGTCTAAGTGGCATGGATTGAACTGGGGTTGAACCGACACGTGGTGGCTTGCTGGTACGTTTTCTGCTCCTTCCCTTTCTCCTCCTGCCTTCCCCCCATCCACCTCAATTTCTCCCCCCCCCTCTTTATTATTTGTCGTCATTGTTATGTGAATAATTGATATGTTGGTTCTTGGTATGTTCCCCTATCGGTTTGGCAATGCCGTTTAGGATCGAATTTTAGGCCTAAGGTCCGCTTATCTTTATTAACTCATCCCGATTTCAGGCCGTCACGTGGCAGTATCACTCGTCGTGCGCCAAACACGTTACCACGCTCGAATCCCGTTACGCGTGCGTCTCGCGTCTCGACATGGCGAGCTTGTAGGGGCAACACAAGTTGCAGGCTCAATGGCTCGTTAGCGTTAGCTCGTGAGAGAGTGGCAGCGATGTGACATCGGTTTTTTCGTTCCAGGCTTCACATGAGCACGCCTGATGACTTGTACATTTATGAGGGGAGTTCTCTGATGTCCGTCATTCTTTCCTCAAATTCCTCGTCCGCGCTTCGTCTGCGTCGATGATTGGGATTATTTGAGTATTGCTCGCGGTTCGTCTACGAACACGATTATTGGAGCGCGCTACGTACGTCTTCTTTCAAGCAGGGCTCAGTTGAGTATCGATCATGCGGCGCTCTACGTTCCATTCGTCTCCCGCATTCGGCGGCGGCGTTATGCTGGCAGCTGCCCACTCCCCGCACTCCTCTCCCTCTCCGCCACCGCCTCCCCGCGCAAGCGGATTCCCCCTATCGTCCTCCGCTGATCTCCCGCCGCCAGCCGCAGCGCCACCGCCGGTGCGTCGCTCTTCGCTGTCCCATGCCCTCGGGACCGCCGCGCCACCTCCCGCGCCTTCCGCCGAGTTTGCGCCTGCTGCTACCCCCGCCGGCGCCAGCGCCGCTGCCGCCTCTTCCAAATTGTCGCGCAAGTCTGGTCGGTGGGACTTCTTTCGCTGGGCTGACGAGGAAGAGGACGAGTTGAATGAGGCGGAGGAGGTTGACAGGGAGGGGGAGGAAGCGGAGGAGGAAGGGGAAAACGAACGGGCGGCGGTGGAAGCGAAGGAGGAGTATGAAGACTTTCTATGCGCGAATCCCGCCGCCATTCGCGGCAGCGAGCTGCGATGGGGTCGCGAGAGCGAGCGCATGAGCGCCAGTTTCAGCGGCGCCGATCGCGGCGGCAGCAGGATGGCGGTGACTGCGACTCGAAGCGACAGCAGCGCAGCCGTCGGCGGAGCCATTTGCGGCGTCGATCTCGGCGGTGCGCACAGCGGTGCTGGTGAGATGTACGGTTCGAACTGCCGGGACCGTGCCCCATTACCTTGTCTCTCCACCTCCATGGCCACCGCCACAAACACTGTCACCACCGCCACCGCCGCCGGCGCCGGCGACGCCTCCACTGCTGCTCCCTTCTTTCCTCGTCACGCGTCCTGCCCGTCGTCTCCGTCGCACAAGGCGCTGCCCGAAGCCCTGCCCGAGGCGCGGCCCGTGATCGCGCCGAGCTCTGTTGCGGGGAGCACAGCAGGCGCACCCATCCTAGGGCGCTTATATGGTGACGGAGGGATTTCGCAACGGCGGAGCGACCAACGCGATCAACGCGACCGTTGCGACTCGTCCCCGCATCCGCAGTTCGGTGAAGGTCGTTCCCTGCCTGATTCCTCCTCCGCGCTCTGCGCTTCCGCCGTTCCTTCCGCTTCGGCCCGCGTCCCTGCCGTGTCGCTGGCTCTAGCGGAGCCATATACCCTAGTGGAGTTTCCCGCGAGGGGGACGCGCGGAAGCAGCGCGGCCGCGCCTCCCCCCGTCTCTCCGCCCGTCCGCCCACCCGTCTTTGCCCTCCTCTCCGCCGCGCGCGCGGGGTTGGCGGCGGGCGCGCAGCCGGCCTCCGCGCACGGGGGCCTGGGCGGAGCGTACATCTTCCGCGACGAGTCTTGCGCCAACCTCGCGATCGTGAAACCCGCGGACGAAGAGCCGCTAGCGCCCAACAACCCCAACGGGTATGTGGGGCGCGCTCTGGGGCAGCCGGGGCTGAAGCGGAGCATTCGCGTGGGGGAGGCGGCGGGGCGGGAGGTGGCGGCGTACGTGCTGGACCATGGCGGATTCGCGGGCGTGCCGTGCACCGCGCTCGTGTGGGCCGCGCACCCCGTGTTCCACGTCAATGCTCCGCCGCCCCCGCCGCCACCGCCGCCGCCGCAGCAGCAGCTGCAGTGGGGGCACCAGCAGCAGCGGGGGCAGCGGGAGCCGGCGCAGGCGCAGCGAGAGGGGGAGCAGGCGGCGGCGGCGGCGGCGGCGGCGGGCGCGGCGGAAGCGGGCGCGCAGTTGCGGCTGTGTTCGATGCAGCGGTTCGAGGAGCACGACTTCGACGCGAGCGAGCACGGCACGTCGCGCTTCCCCGTGGGCGCAGTGCACCGCATGGGCATTCTCGACGTGCGCCTTCTCAACACGGACCGCCACTCGGGGAACATCCTCGTTAAGCGCCTCGGCGGCGGCTCGGAGGGCGAGGAGCAGCGCGGGGGGAGGAGGAGCAGTTCCGCGCACGCGCACGCGCTCCTGCGCGCGGAGGATGACGTGCGGCTGATCCCCATCGACCACGGGTTCTGCCTGCCTGAAACGCTGGAATCCGCTTATTTCGAGTGGCTGCACTGGCCGCAGGTACGATGCTGCGCCAGCAAGGGGAAGGGAAGGGGGGGAAAGGAGGAAGGGGGGGGGGAAGGGGAGTGGATTAAGAAGGGAATGGGTGGGAGAAAAGTTGTGGGGCTTTGAGGGGAAGAGGGAGTGTGCGTGCGCTGGTTCTAGGGATGTCAGTGCTTCAGGATGGGTAACGGGGTTGTTTCTAATCTTGAGCAATGCTCCTTAGAGACTTTCCATCCTCCTTGCGTTTTCCCGTTTTCTTTCGTTGCTTACACTCCCTCGCCGTTCCCCCTGCTCCCTTTTCCTCATTTTTTTTTCCTACTTTCCCCCTCTGCGTTCTCCACCCGCCTCTCCCCCTCTCCCCGCAGGCGTCGCTGCCCTTCTCCCCCGACGAGCTCGAGTACATAGCCGCGCTGGACGCCGCGCGGGACGCGCAGCTGCTGCGCGCGCACCTCCCCGCCATCCGCGCGGGCTGCCTGCGCGTGCTCGCGGTCACCACGACGCTGCTGCAGCGCGCGGCGGCCGCGGGAATGACTCTGGCGGGGATAGGCGCGCTGATGACGCGCGAGGTGCAGGGGCGGGAGGAGCGCCCGAGTGACCTGGAGGTGGCGTGCTGGGAGGCGCTACAGGCGGTGGCGCAAGGGGGATACGGGGAAGGGGAAGGGGAAACGGTAGGGGAAGGGGAAGGGGAAGGTGTGGGGGAGTGGGAGAGGGAGGGGGAGGCGGACGGGTTTTGGAGGGTGGAGAGTGAGGGTGACAATGGGGTGGAGGGGGGGATTGCTGAGGAAAGGGACGAAGATGAGGAGGGGAGTGAGGAGGGGAGTGAGGAGGGGAGTGAGGAGGGGAGTGAGGAGGGGAGTGAGGAGGGGAGTGAGGAGGGGAGTGAGGAGGGGAGTGAGGAGGGGAGTGAGGAGGGGAGTGAGGAGGGGAGTGAGGAGGGGAGTGAGGAGGGGAGTGAGGAGGGGAGTGAGGAGGGGAGTGAGGAGGGGAGTGAGGAGGGGAGTGAGGAGGGGAGTGAGGAGGGGAGTGAGGAGGGGAGTGAGGAGGGGAGTGAGGAGGGGAGTGAGGAGGGGAGTGAGGAGGGGAGTGAGGAGGGGAGTGAGGAGGGGAGTGAGGAGGGGAGTGAGGAGGGGAGTGAGGAGGGGAGTGAGGAGGGGAGTGAGGAGGGGAGTGAGGAGGGGAGTGAGGAGGGGAGTGAGGAGGGGAGTGAGGAGGGGAGTGAGGAGGGGAGTGAGGAGGGGAGTGAGGAGGGGAGTGAGGAGGGGAGTGAGGAGGGGAGTGAGGAGGGGAGTGAGGAGGGGAGTGAGGAGGGGAGTGAGGAGGGGAGTGAGGAGGGGAGTGAGGAGGGGAGTGAGGAGGGGAGTGAGGAGGGGAGTGAGGAGGGGAGTGAGGAGGGGAGTGAGGAGGGGAGTGAGGAGGGGAGTGAGGAGGGGAGTGAGGAGGGGAGTGAGGAGGGGAGTGAGGAGGGGAGTGAGGAGGGGAGTGAGGAGGGGAGTGAGGAGGGGAGTGAGGAGGGGAGTGAGGAGGGGAGTGAGGAGGGGAGTGAGGAGGGGAGTGAGGAGGGGAGTGAGGAGGGGAGTGAGGAGGGGAGTGAGGAGGGGAGTGAGGAGGGGAGTGAGGAGGGGAGTGAGGAGGGGAGTGAGGAGGGGAGTGAGGAGGGGAGTGAGGAGGGGAGTGATGAAGGAGAGGATGCATGGGAGTGCCCTAGTTGGGCTGTGGGCGGTGGTGCCTATGCTGCTGCTTCTGCCAGTGGTGCTGGTGCTGGGGAAGACACCAGCACATGTGCTGCTCCCAGTGGCAGCAACAGCAGCAGCAGCAACAGCAACAGCAGCAGTGTGCCGCAGGTGCTGTTTACCCCCATGAAGGCAGGATGGCGATGGGCGGACGCTGCAGATGAGGAGGACGAGGAGGAGGATTCGGCTGATGGCTGTGCTACTGCTGGTGCTGCTGCTGCCGCTGGTGCTGCTGCTAGCGGTGCTGCTGCTGATGCGGATGCGGATGTGAGGAGTCCCCATGGAGAGCAGTTTCACTTTGACGATGAGCCTGACTTCCTGCAACACCCCTCCTCCTCCACCAGTGCCGCTGCAACCGCCACCCCCACCACCACCAGCACAGGCACCACCACCCCTGTGGCCACCGCCACCACCACCACGGCTGCTGCTCTCACGGCACCCACCTCTTCCCTTCCTCGCTCCGCATCCCTCCGTTCCCTGGACCCTGCTCTCCCCATGTCACCACCGTGCACAAGCGCACCACTGCTCGACATCCTCCCGCTGTCGTCTCTGCCGTCTCTCCCTGCGTTCCCGTCCGCCCTTTCGTCTCTCCCGGCGCTCGAGCTCTCGCCGTACCTCTCGCCGCTCTCCCTGGCCGCGCCTGGCGGTAGCTGTGACTCGCTGCTGCTGGTTGCTCACGCCGATGCCACTGCAGCAGCAGGGGATGTGCACCTAGGGTCGCTTGGGCACGCGCAGGGCCAGGGGCAGCAGGAGCAGGTTCTGTCGCTGTCTGCTTCTTTCCCTGCCCTGCCTGCAACGGCGGACTATCCTGGCTGTGTTGCTGCTGGCACGGGTTTTGATAGTGCACTCAGGGGATGGAACATCAGCAGTGGCAGCAGCAGTAGCAGCAGCAGTGGCTGTGGCGGTGGTGGGGTGAATAATGCACCCTGCTTCTCCCTGCTCGCCGCCCCTATCCTGGCCTCTTCTGATACCAATTCAGCTCTCAAGTCACCTCCTCTGCTTCACTCATCCTCCTCCTCTTCTTCGTCCTTGTATCTCAACAGCAGCAGCAGTGTCGCTACGCCTCCCACCACTTCCTCTTCCTCTCACATTCCCACCTCGCGCACCCCCCTCTCCTCCTCTTTCTCCTCCTCCTATGCTCCCCCGCCTCGCCTGGCCTCCAAAGCTCTGTACCGGCGACCAGTAGGGCAGATGCAAGGAGCAGGTAAGGCGGGAGTGAGGAGGCACCAGCAGCAGCAGCGCCACCAGCACCATCACCAGCAGGAGCAGCAGGAGATGCAGCATAGGAAGGTTGGGCTGAGCCATTCACTGGCTTGCTCACCTGTGCCGTGGTCCTCAGGGCGGGGAGGGGGGCCCTCTGGAGGAATGGCAGGAGGAGGAGGAGGAGGAGGAGGAGGAGGAGGAGGAGGAGGAGGAGGAGGAGGAGGAGGAGGAGGAGGAGGAGGAGGAGGAGGGAGGTCGGTGGGAGCAGGGGCATGGATGGCAGCAGCAGGAGCAGGCGGACGAGCAGCAGGAGGAGCGGCAGCAGGGGGAACAGCAGGGGGAGCAGGAGGAGCGAGGGAGGAAGGGCCTGGGGAGTGGGTGGATCTGGGGGAGGTGAGTGAGGAGGCGTGGGGGGAGTTCATGCGCGTGCTGGTGGGGATACTGGACGAGCTTATAGCACAGCGGTGCGGCGACTGTGTCACTCGCAGGCTGCACTTTGGAACCTCGTGCCAGTTCTGATTAGCCCTGAGCCCCTGAGCCCTGTTTCAATGCTTGTATCTCTTCCTACGATCTCTCGTAGTATAAGAGAGCGTAGCACGGAGAGTGAAGGGAGTGAAGTGGAGTGGCTGGCATGTGTGCTCTGTGTTTTCCTGGCTATGCAAGTTGGTTGGTGCGTGCTTGCACTAGTTGGTAGCTCTGGTCTGGTAGTTGGGCATGTAATGGTGTCTATCTAGTAGCGTTATGTAGTCTATATTTGCATGCTTCTCTTGCTATTCATGTATGCTTGCATGTTATGTACGGTACCTCATGGAAATAAAATTGCAAGGTACTGAACTGGAGTGTTTTTGCTGCGCTGGTGCAAGTGCAAGTGCAAGAAGGGAGGAAGAGAGATTTTTATACCCAGTGACTTGGGTAGTACAGTAGACACAACACAAACACAATGTTGCCCTCATTGCATTACATTACATTGTATTACATTGTACACCAGAACCACATTCCGGTTACAAGAGCCTCACTCTGTTCAGCTCAGCACCATCACCACTTCCCAAGCCACATCTCCCAAAGCCTTCTCACCTCCCCCTTCTCTCCACTCCCAACCACCCCCCTCCCCCTCCCCCCTCCCTTTCTCCCTCCGCCGCTTCCTCCAAGTATCAGTCCACACCAAAACACCTCTCCTCCACGTATCTACTGCCATAACCTCCGTCGTCCAGCCATCGTCCAAGCTCCCATCTCATCCGCATTAGTCCGCCTCCTAATCAAAGTCAGACTGCCCCACAGACAGGACCTCTACTCCTCAGCATCTCCCTCAGCATCTCTACCATCCGGTGATGGTCGTCCAAGCTCTCATCTCGTCCCCATCTAGCTGCCCGTAGGCACCTCTCTAGACGTCTCTCAAGTGAGTCAGTCAGTCTGCCCTGAAGAACCTCTCTTCCGCGTCTCTATTGACCTCTGCCATCCACTGATCGTCGTCCAAGCTCTCATCTCGTCCAAATCAAGCTGCCCGTAGGCAACTCTTTAGACGTATCCCAACCCAAGTGAGTCAGTCAGTCTGCCCCAAAGTACCGCTCTTCCGCGTCTCTATTGACCTCCGCCATCCAGTCATCGTCCAAGCTCTCATCCTCATCAATGCGCCCATAGTCCACATCTGCCTCCCTCCCTGCCAAGAACCGCTCCTTCATCGCCCATCTCAACTCCTCTAGCGCCCCTTCCCTATCCTCCCCACCCTCCCAAACCTCCTCACCCTCCCAAACCTCCCTACCCTCCCTACCCTCCCGATCCTCCTGATCCTCTTGATCCTCCTGGCCCTTAGGAACCTCCCCCTCTCTCGCTCCCGCTCCCTCACCCTGTCCTCCTTCCTTGCCCTTAACCTGTGTCCTACCCTGGTCTGCTTCTCCACCACCACTGCTTCTCCTTCTCCCAGCTCCCGACTCATCTCCTCGTGCTGCGCTCTCCTGCCCTCCACTTCTTCCCGCTTCTCCTCCTGCTGCTCGCCTCTCATCTCCTGCAATCCCATCGCCCCTTCCTGCAGCACCCCCTGCTCTGGCACCCCCTGCTGTAGCACCCCCTGCTCTGGCACCCCCTGCTGTAGCACCCCCTGCTGTAGCACCCCCTGCTCTGGCACCCCCTGCTGTAGCAACCCCTGCTGTAGACCCCCCTGCTGTTATAGCCCTTGCTGCTGCCACGTCTCTCCCAGCACCGGCTCCAGCACCTACCTCTGACACCAACCTCCCTGCTTCCCCCTGCAATCTCCCTTGTGCCGCTGCCACATTGCTCCTTCTTTCTCCTCCCTCCTCCTCCTCCCCTTTCTCCCCACCCTTCCCTTCCTCCCCCTGCCCTTCACACTCCATCTGCATGTGCCCCCAGTGTTCATCCCTGCGGCCATTCATATCCATCCCTCCTTCCTCTTCCTCTTCATCCTCTTCCTCCTCTCCCCCCTCCTCCTCCTCTTCTTCCTCCTCCTCTTCCTCTTCTTCCTCCTCCATCATCCGTCCACGCCTGCCTCTCCCTCTCACCCCTCCCTCTCGCGCCCTCCGACCTCTCACCAGAGCCTGCTGTATCGCCACCTCATCAGTCTGCCTCAGAAGCATCTCCCAAAGCCTCTCCCCCGGTCGAGCCACAAACATGCCCTCTGCAACCCCACCCACCCCCCTTGCCGCAGCCACTGCCACTCCCACTCCTTCTCCTCCTCCCGCTCCCGCCCCCGCTCCCGCTCCCCCTCCTTCTCCCCCTCCTCCCCCTGGCCGTCCCCCTCCTCCTCCCTCCCCGTCTTCCTCTCCCCCTTCGCCTCTTCCTGCTAGTGCCACCACTGCTCCAGGTGCTCTGTCGAACCCTCCCAGGTAGTCCTGATGCAGGAGTGGGTCTCTCTCCCTCATTGCTTCCTCGCTGAAAAACACGCCCTGCTGCTCGTGGGTGCGTGGTGTGTGGGGGGGGGGAGCATGGTCGTAAGCGTGTGGTGGTGTGGGCACGGCTTCATGTGTCTTGCATAATGCGTCATGTAACTTGTATCATGCGTCATGCATCATGCATGGAGCATCATGCGTCATGCATCATGCATGGAGCATCATGCATGGAGCATCATGCATGGAGCATCATGCATGGAGCATCATGCATGGAGCATCATGCATGGAGCATCATGCATGGAGCATCATGCATGGAGCATCATGCATGGAGCATCATGCATGGAGCATCATGCATGGAGCATCATGCATGGAGCATCATGCATGGAGCATCATGCATGGAGCATCATGCATGGAGCATCATGCATGGAGCATCATGCATGGAGCATCATGCATGGAGCATCATGCATGGAGCATCATGCATGGAGCATCATGCATGGAGCATCATGCATGGAGCATCATGCATGGAGCATCATGCATGGAGCATCATGCATGGAGCATCATGCATGGAGCATCATGCATGGAGCATCATGCATGGAGCATCATGCATGGAGCATCATGCATGGAGCATCATGCATGGAGCATCATGCATGGAGCATCATGCATGGAGCATCATGCATGGAGCATCAAGTGTCATGCACAGCCCAGCCATGTACCTGTTCCAGGCGAGTCATGACCGCCAGGCGTCGGTTCTTCACCACAGCAGCAGCCGACGGGTGCGGCGATGACGGGTGGTTGGACGGACGCAGCTGGGTGGGCGGGAGAGAGGCGGGGAAGAGAAAGGAGGAGTGGGGTGGCATGATTTTCTAGGCGCCTCAAATTCGAGGGAGTGTGGGGGAGAAGGTGGGGGTGGGAGAGCAAGGGAAGGTACTGATGATGCAGGAACGGAGAGAGGAGGTGGGGATCCAGGCTGCATGAATGAAGGACGTGCAATACAGTGCCTGTGGCATGTGACACGTGGCATGTGGGAAGTGACAAAGCCAACCACAAAAAGCCTACTGACTACTGACGTCACACACTCACTCGTCGCATGTGCCATGCGATCTCATAGTCACCCGCCATGCCGTCAAACGCCCGCAGCTCCTCCTCCCGCAGCAACCCTCCGTACCGCTCTGCACACCACACCCCGACAACCCCACAAGCGCGCAAGCAGACAAAGGGGAACGGGAGGGCGGTTGGAAAAGCGGACCGCAAGACAGCAACCCCAAACGTTGAATTAAAGGTGCATCAACAGGCATGCGGCTGGCTTCCTTACGTTACGACGCCTCAACACTCGTCTTGAGACAATTTTTTAGGCACCCCCACGCAACGCGACTTCGGGTGCAGCAACGAACGGGCGCGACCGGCGGCGGGATAAGACCGAAACGAGAGGGAGTGACAGTCGTCGAATAATCGGAGGGAGTGATGAAATATACTAGAGCCACGAGACCGACTGACTGACTGACTGACTGACTGACTGAGGTACCTAGGCAAAACTGCTGGGTCGCGCTGTAGTAAGGAGGAGAGGTGATCCTTCTTCTCCCCGCAAGTCACGGCGTCGCCGCGACTCTCCATCGCATGCGGCAGTCGCAGGTCCGTTACTAGCGACAGCCGCTCGCTTAATCGCTCTACCTCCGCTGCCGGAACCCCCCGCGCGCCTGTCCCCGCTCCTGACCCCGCGCCCGTGGCGTCTCTCCCCATGGCCGCAGAAAGAGTGTCGCGCGGGTAGAAAATGACGGAGGGAGAAGAAAGGGATGGTGCAGAAGGCGGGTATGGGAGGAGACGAGGAGCTTGCGTGATAAAGACGGGATGGTGGTGGCAAGGGAATCTGTTCGGACAAATTCTCTTACTATCTCCAAAGCACATGTTTGGGAAAAACAATGTTCTAAAATCATATTGCTATCGAGTGTACACGATGACGTTTTGTGTTTGGGCATGGGTACTTTATCAGGACGCTCTATCTTCAACACGTACTGTTTCTCAGGCACCGCGTCAAAACTGTAGCCCATCAAGTTTGGCAGCAGCGAACACCAACTACCAGCTAAACTCCACATAGCGTCTTGGTGAGTCAGTTTGTAAAAAGTCTCTGCTTCTGGTCTCGCTATACCGTTGCAGGCTCCTCGGGGCAAAAGCACCACCACGACCCATCACTCCTGTTTTGGTTGGTTCTCGTCGAGCCGCACCATTGTTTTCGCGCGAATTTCACTCGCGCAACAAATTTTGGAATTCGGGAATTGGGGAGACGCACAAGTGACGGGGAAAGGGTCTGTCTGCTCCCAGTCAGGGAAGCGGCGCCCGCAACGTAACATTTGGAAATGCTGGTGTGAGGGGGAAGAGAAGAACTTCCTTCCAACCACAGCGATCTTCTTCCATCCTGCGAAACGCAGCCCTGCATGACCATTGCTCTCCTCTGGACACAAAAGAGCAGATGTGTGCGATCTGATGGATCCCCTCCAAGCATCATCGCATCGCCTGAATCCACTCGGGTGTATCATTGACAGTTAGTGTTGAAGCGTGATGCCTTCCGCAATCGCAGCTCGTATAGTCAGCCTCGCGTGGAGGGCTATAGGCGCAAGCCATTAGGGTTGCCAAGTTCTAGTTGTGAAATTTGATGCCCCGTCTTCTCGCCAGCTGTCCATTCCTTCCTGGTTTCCGTTTGTAGTATCTTCAAAGCATCAGCTCCCTTCCATGGTCGTGCGCGGCCAAACGGTTTTCTGGTTTCATCCAGCAAAAATCTCGACTGCCACTACCGTGAAATAAGCCTCCTAAGCCTCATAACTCTTTGCCCGAAATCAGCAAAACGAGCAGAATAACAGTTGCCGAGGACAGTATGGCTGCCGCGGCGGACGGCCCGCATGGCACGGCGCGAACAGCGCAACTATCTTCGAACCCTCATTCCCCTCCCTCACCAGCCATTCCCGTTAGCTACCTTTCTCCAATAATGCCCATGCAATACAGACTTCCCGATTCCTCCCCCTCCCCCGTGCGCACCTCCGTCTCCTCCATCTCCCTCTCCTCTTCCTCCTCCCTCCCCCCTTTCTCCCCCTGCCCGACCCCCCCTCCCGTCCTCCCGGCAAAAAAAACCACCGCCAACGACGGAAAGAAGCAGGACGACCGGAAAATCTGCGCGTGCAAGCCGCCACTAACCCTATCCCAGGGGCTCAACCTACCTTGGATCGGTCCTGTGCGGTGGCTAGACCCGCTCCGATGGCTCCTCGCGGCAGTCAAGAACCCTCTGAACGTCGTCACGCTGGTCATGGTCGGGTGCATGGCGGTCGTTATCTCGCTTAACTTCTCCGCCATGGCGCACATCGCGCTGGCCATGGGCGTGTTGGACAGCGAGTGGGAGGAGAAGCTATGGCAGGAGTTTTGCAACCAGATCCTCAACGCCGTCGGCACGCTCGGCTGCCTCGTCGTGCACCCGCTGCGATGCTACTACCTCGTGCGACTCTGGCGATGGAGTCGCGAAGACGTCGCCAGCCTTCGCGCGGTGCTGTCGGCAGCGGGGCCGTTCGTCGCAAAGCCCGACGAGCGGTGGCATCTGGGCGTCGTGCTGATACTCCTACAGCTCAACTGTTTCGGCCAATACGCCATCGCGCTTTTCATGTGGTTCGTCTCGGAACCTGATCGACCTCTCGTTCTCCTCGGGTTCATCGTGTTTATCGCGCTCGGATCGCTTATCGCGGCTGGGATCTACTGCTCCTGGAGCCCTCTCGGCTGGCCTACTGAGTCTAAGCCTGAGAAGAAGGAAAGGAATCGCGGGAAATGCGGCGGTCGTGTCGTTCCCGTGACGAGCGCCGAGGAAGACGGCGGCACTGCTGCCGATGCTGCGGAGGAGGGAGCGGGTCTGTGCGGGAAGTGCGGGGGCGTGCTGTGCGACAGCGCCGCGGACGACGGCGCCGGCGACGACGACGACGACGACGATGTGGATAGGGTCGCACAGAAGCAAGGGCTGTACGTGCGACTGGACGACGCGAGCGCGGCAGGAAAGCAGAAACCGCACGAGTGGAAAACGCCCACGTGGCAGCCGATGGGGGAGCTGGCGCGGCCGCAATGGCAAGGCTCGGCGCTAGACTGCTGCGCGGACGGTGTAGGCTCGGCGGTTTGGACCACGCTCTGCTGCTTCTGTGTGCACGGACGACACGTGGAGCGAGCTGGGTTTGGCAACAAGATCGTCCACACTGCGATGTTCTTATTTTTCATCTTCGGACCTATCGTGATCTTTACGCTCGGCTCGCGTCCCATCGCTAGTGTACCCATGCAGTGGATCGTGTTCGGGCTGGGGATTCTTGTGACGATTGGCGGGGTGACTTATGGCGGGTACTGGAGGTGGAAGTTGAGGAGGACGTTTCTGTTGCCAGAAGAGGAGTGGTGCTGCGGGCACAAGGCAGCTACGGACTTTGCGTCGTGGTACGTGCTGCCGTGCTGCTCGCTGTGCCAAGAGATGCGCACCGTGCGGCACTACCGCCTCAACATGCTCCCACACCTGCCCGATGAGACCCCGGGCGAGGCGCAAGGGGCGGGGCAGGGGAAGGAGATTACTGTGCTGACCATGGTGCCCGCTACTATTTGCATGGAGGCCTGTGCGATTTGTGTGTAAGGGTGCGGGTAATTGCATACGGGTGTGTGAGTCCTCCTGGAATTGATGCCTAGTGAGGATTTCTCCTGCAATGTATCTGATCTGATGACAATAACTAATAATTGTCAATGCTACGTACATTTCCATACACTTTGAAATTTGCCAGTCAACATGGTGGGAACTTCTATGGGTCATCTTGAATTGAATAATAATCTGAACATTAGCGGAAACACAAAAAGACAAATTACCGTAATGGGGAACATCAATAGGGGCTAGTACGATGGGGTTGGGGTGGGGGGAACGAAGGGAAGGGGATGCTACTCAAAAACACTAAGGCTATGCTATGGTTTCTCTAGATACAAGAGCGGCCGCTGACATGGATAGGAGAAAACCAGCACCCAGGCCCCTGCACCCTATAACCCAAGGCTTGTGGGAGAGGCCGCAGCTCAAACTCAAAATCGGAATGAACGCTCCAACGATTCAACAACCATATTAGAGAGGTCGGATTCTCCCAACCTCGACAGGCACCGTGTGTGTCAGCAACTGCGAAGCTCAAACCTAATGCTGGTGGTGGTGGTGGCGGTGGTGGTGGAGGGCCAAGAAGTGGGTGGGTGGCGGTAGCAATGGTGGTGACGATGATAATGCGGCTGCTGCGTTGCTGCTGCTTCTGTTTCTTTTCAGCCTAGCCGGCTAGCACTTCCCCCCCGAGTCCCCCAGTGCCCTACACACCTTCTCGCCTCCATTCGCCATTTCTATGGGCATCACCTTTCAAGACGCCTCATAACTCCTCTCTACCACCACGTCACTCCGCCATGGCTACAGTCATCGGAGTGACCTCCATGCACAGCGTCCCAGGCGCGCCCATAACCATCACAGCGCCGCCCTCCCCGCTGCTCCCCTCCTTGCCCGGCCCTTCGGGAATCTCCAGTCTAAGGTTATACCGCCGCACGGTGCGCACCTCTTGGCACAGCGAGCAGCACGGCAGCAGGTACCACGACGCAAAGTCCGTCGCCGCCTCGTGCCCGCAGCACCAGTCGCTCGCGGGCAGGTGGAAGTTTCGCCGCAGGTACCACCGCCAGTAGCCCGCGTACGTCAGGCCTAGAATCGTGCTAATCACCCCGAGCGCGAACACGAAATTCTGCATGTAACCGGGGGGTAGGATTGCGGAAGCAGGGCCGAACATAGCCATGGGTCCGACGAGGAAGAGGATAAACATGGCGATGTGGACGATCTTGTTGCCGAAGCCAGCGCGCTCCGCGTTCCACCCGTGCACGCAGAAGCAGCAGAACGTAGCTGCTACAGCCGTCCACCCGTCCGACCAGCAGTCCAGGAGCCCGCCCTGCCACTGCGGCCGCGTGGCGCCTCCCACCGGCTGCCACGTGGCGCGACGCCATTCGTTCAGGTCGTCCGCGTCCTTGCCCTTGCCGCGTTTGCCGCTCTTCCCGTCAACCGCGCCGCAACCCGCGGAGCTCTCCTTGCCACCCCCGCAAACCTCGCACCGCCGCGACAACAACCCCTCGCCCTCGCGACCCGCCTCCTCGTCCCACTCGCCGCATTCCCCGGACGCAGAGACGCGCCGCCCCGCGGGTTGCGGCTTGGCTCCTGTGGGCCACCCCAGAGGGCTCCAGAGGCAGTAAAGCCCGGCAAAGATAACGGACCCTAGCGCGAAAAGCGCTAGGCAGCCGAGAAGCACCATGGGGCGGGAAACCATGTCGGTGGTCCACATGAAATAGGCAATCGCGTATTGGAAGACGCAGTTGACTTGCAGTAAGAATATGACGAAGGCGATGTGCTGCCATTCTTTGGGCTTTCGCACGAACGGGCCGGCTTTAGACAGCATCGCGCGGAGACTCGCCGCGTCTTGCGGGCTCCAGCGGAAAACCTGGAGCACGTAGTAGCACCGCAGCGGGTGGACTAAAAGACTTCCGAGCGTGCCGATCGCGCAGAGAACCTGATTGGACAGCTCGAACCAGAGCTCTGCTTGCGGTTGCGTGAGGATCCCGAGGAGGAGCGGGATCTGGGAGATTATCGCGCAGTTGATTCCGACCATGGAGCCCGCGAGGGTTACGGTGAAGAGGGTCATAACGTTGAGCGGGTCGCGCACGAATTCCCGCAGGAATCGCGGCGGGTCTGACCATCGGACCGGGCCGAGGAACGGCAAGTTGAGGCCTTCGGAAAGGGAGAGCTTTTGCGCGGATGGGCGCGCTTCTGGTGCGGACGACGCGGTGTTAGCGGCGGCGGCGCTGCAGCAGCAGCGGAAGGCGGAGGAGTCGTCGGTTTGCGCGCGGAGCTTTGCGAGCGATGCTGAAGGGGAGCGGGGGGAGAGGTGGGGGATGGAGGAGGAGGAAGATGAGAGGGAGAGGGATTCGGAGGAGGAGGGGCTTTGCGCGTCGGAGGAGAGGGTGGGGCGCACGGGAATGGATCGAGTGATTGTAGGCATGGGGATAGACATGCCTGTGGATGAATGCGGCGCCATCACAGGCTTTCTGAGGGCCTCAGGCGGGAGTTAAGAAGAGGTTGCTGATGCTTCAAGATGGTTGTTATCTTGCTTCGGGATTCGGCACTCGGGGCCGCGGATGAGAAGCTGAAGAAGCGTAGAAGAGGGAATGTTATGGAGGCTTCTGCGGGCGATTTTGTGTTGAAAGAGCTGAACTTGCCGTGGCAATGTCGTCTAACCTAGTGCTGTATCAGACCACCATATACAAATCGGAGTTGGGTTGTGCTGAGCTTTGAACCAAGATGCCTGACTAAAAACTGAAGTGAGGTGCGTTGGAAGTGAATGAAAACGATGATCGAATGGCGGAGAGAATGGTTCCATTTGTGTGGTTGCCGCCAAGCCTATGCAACAATTGCTTCTCTCCCTTCCCCTCCAGTCAACCCGCTGATTCGAATCGATCCTTCGCTCGTAGGCGCGCCCACTTACCGCGGAATTTCCTCCTCCCCTATCCCCAGCCCCACCGTCCCCCGCACACCCGCCTCGTGCAGCTAGGTTAGGTCATTTGTGTCAATCATGACATGATTCATGTCAGTCGAGGCGCGCGGTGATGGTTCGGAGTCGGAACAGCCGTTGGATGGATGATGTCGCTCAGCGAGTATGGTTGTGGGGAGGAAGGGGCGGGAGAATATTGGAGGACCGAGGTGATGGGGAAGGAAGACACTGCGTTGCGGCGGGGGGACTGATGAGGGGTGGGGGGGGAAGCTGCGGTGGGAAGGGGGGAGAAACGGGTGGTGGAGGGGGTCTGGGCGAGGCGGGCGAACCCTGCGAAAACCATGAAGGAAGCGCCAGCGACCGATGATGTCGGGACGTGACCGCCCGCGGACCGCGTTGCCGGAGCTCATTTTTTGTCTCATCTCTCCTCCGTCCATCCATCCCCTCGAATTGAAACACCCACCGTCCCTGCCGCGAACCTGCCTAGCTGGGAACCACCGCCAACCTACATCGTGCAGGCTTGGCGATTTGGAATTTCGCCTGGTTGAGGCTCAGGGTGTATTACAGCGTTACAAATAAAATAAAAATACAAATCATTTATTTACTTTTCCCACTGGAGAAATTGGTCTTCAACAGTTAAAAAGCTGTCCTGTCCATGAAATGAAAGTGCTGTATTAGCACATAGAAAAAAAAGGACTGGCCACAATAGTTAGACATCATATTAAGGGCGGGTCAAACTTCGTACATGTACGCTTTATTTTCAATTCAGGTACCACCAGGGCCCATTTTATCAGGGTAAAATACAAATTTTGCCCTGATGGTAGGCCGCTTTTGTCAAAACATATTTCTATGTTCTTAGTTCTGCTATGCTGCAGTGAGGTTCTCAGTATAGAGTACATTCATACTTAGAGCATGTTCCTACGGCCTCATATCAGGAAACATCGTATCAGATTCGCGTCGAACCGCACTAAAACGCATCCAACCGCAGTCGAACACACTGAAAAGTATTTCACCACGTGAAGCTGATACGAGGTGTGTCTGATACGAGGTGTAGGAACACGCTCTTATATCTCCCTGTTGCTAGTCATTCATCATTCCTGCACAGTTCTTTCAACACCGTATCCAGAGCTTGTGGGTTGCCTCATGTACCTAATGACGTGCACATGACCTGACCTCGCGTACCCTCTCAGCCTCCTGGCTCGCTACGTGGCTCCCGGTAGATACCGAAAGGTGCACTGGGATGCTGCGAAGAGGGTACTGCGTTACTTGTGCAGTACATCGGGCATGGGGCTTATGCTTGGAGGATGGGGTTCAGTTGTACTCACAGGACACTCCGACGCTTTCTGGGTCGACGATCAGGCGACTCAGCGTTCGTCACAGGGTTACACCTTCAGTCTTGGCTCTGGTTCTGTCTCGTGGAGGTCCACTCGTTCTTCTTCTGTGCTTGGTTCCAGCTGTGAGGCTGAGATCTACGCTGGGGCTATGGCTGCACAGGAGCTACGCTGGCTGACCTACCTGCTGGCCGATTTGGGGGAGCGGCCTCGTTTTTCTCCAGTTCTGTACGTCGACAACAAGGCCATGCTTGTCTTGTGTCACGAGCAAAGGCTGGAGCACAGAATGAAGCACATTGTTCTTCGCTACTTTCTTGCTCGAGAGCTGCAGCAGCGTGGTCAACTTCGCCTTTCTTACGTGGCCTCTCGGGCCAACACTGCCGATGTCTTCACCAAGGCCCTCGGGTCTGGTGATCATCAGCGTTTTTGCACTGCTCTTGGGCTTCTGCCCGTCCTGCCTCACGTGCTTGTCTCTTGATCTTGCACTTGTTGTACACTGATATCTATATTTATACCTGCATGTTTACTCTTGCTAGGTTGTGATCAGTGTACTGCCTTGTTATTATAACTCTGCATGTGAGCTGGCCTTGTGGCCGCTTGCTTGCGCTCAGAATGAGTGGTGATCTTTAGATCCACCATGGGCTTTGCATTGCTTTGTTCTCTTGCCTGACTGGTCTTGTGACCGTTTGTTGTGTTGGCTATCCCTCACTTTGCCTAGGGGGGTGTGTCAAAACATATTTGTATGTTCTTAGTTCTGCTAGGCTACAGAGAGGTGCTCAGTATAGAGTACAACCCCAGTTAGGGTTTCATACTTGTATCTCCCTGTTGCTAGTCTTTCATAATTCCTGCACAGTTCTCTCAACAGCTTTTTCCCAGTTACCCTTGCCAAATCAGCCTATGAAAAAAATTACCCTAGTGAAAAAAGGCTAAGCTTTTAAGTACACTGATAACGAATTTGATTACCCGGACTGTATCAGGGTACGATGCCACGTACACTGATACCAAAACTTTTTTTTACCGCGGATTCCGCCACACATCGCTGTCAAACATTATACATGTCTATATTGTGTAGGCTATAGTGGGTTTAGCCTTAGAGAGTACAACATTGCTAGGGTTTCCTATTCGTATCACCCTGCTGTCTAGTTCACTTCATTCTCGTTCACTTCTAGATTCTAACATGGTATCCGACGCCTAGGTCAGGACCTAGGACCGACGTTGGTTAGGGCCCACCGTTCCGCCGCGCCCTTGCGCGACCGTGTCTGATAGTACCTCGCGCCGTCGTGCGCCCCTACCCGCGCCGTCGAGCGCCCTTACTAGCGCCGTCGAGCGCCCCTTCAAGCGCCGTCGTGCGCCCTGTTGCTAGTTGCGCGCTGCCCACTAGCCTCGCACGCAGCCCCTCGCGGCCCCGTGCAGCCCCGTGTGCCGTCCGCCTGCCTAACCGCGCCCTCGAGCGCCTGCCTACCCGCGCCCTCGAGCGCCTGCCTACTCGCGCCCTTGAGCGCCTGCCTACTCGCGCCCTCGAGCGCCACCCTGCCGCCCTGCCCTGCAGGCCGCGCGCGGGCCTGCTCTGCACCCGCGCAGCCGCCCCTGGACCCCGAGGCGCGGCCCCTGGACCCCGCGACGCGTCGCCCTGCTCGTCGCGACGCCTCTGCGGGACCCGGGCGTCGCCCCTGCCTCGTCGCGACGCCCCTACGGGACCCGCGCGTCGCCCCTGCCTCGTCGCGACGCCCCTGCGGGACCCGCGCGTCGCCCCTGCCTCGTCGCGATGACCTTGCGGGACCCGCGCGTCGCCCCCGCCTCGTCGCGGCGCTTCTGCGGGACCCGCGCGCGTCGCCCCTGCCTCGTCGCGACGCCCCCGCGCGACCCGCGCGTCGCCACTGGGACCCGCGCAGAGTCGCCCCTGCCCGCCGCGGCGCCCTGCATTACCCCGCGCCCGCCCTTGGGACGGCCGCCCCTGGCCCCTGGAGCAGCCACCACTGCAGCAGCCGCCCCTGGCCCCTGGAGCAGCCGCACCTACAGCCCGCCCCTGGACCCTGGAGCAGCCGCCCCTGCAGCAGCCGCCCCTGGCCACCTGGAGCAGCCGCCCCTGCAGCACCTGCCCCTGGCCCCTGGAGCAGCTGCCGTCGCGGCCCGGCCCCGCCCTACAGCAACTGCCGCGGAGCCTTTAGCCGCAGTCGTCGCCCCGCCCTGCAGCAGCTGCCGCGGAGCTCCCTGCCGCGGCCCGGCCCCGCCCTGCAGCTGTAGCGGCCCCGCTGTCGCCGCCGTCTTGCGCCTGCCCTTCCCACCACTGGTGAGCACTGCCCTGCCCGCGCTGCTACAGTTGCTACTGCTGCTACTGCTTTTACTGCTCCTACTGCTACTGCTCCTGCCGCTACTGCCGCTACTGCTGCTACTGCTGCTCCTGGCATGGCCAGATGCAGCTCCAGGGCCGTGCGCGTGAGTCTCTCACGCCCCAGCAGCTTCGTGAGTGGTACGCTAGTTGGGGCTGTCGGGGTGGCCGTAGTGGGAGTCGCTCTGGAGTGGGTAGTTCGGGAGCTTCTGGTAGTGGCCAGGTGCAGCTGCAGCGTCGTTCCCGCGAGGCTCTTTCGCCCCAGCAGCTTCGTGAGTGGTACGCTCAGAGTAGAGGGTCACTGAGTACTGCTCGCTGCCCGTACGTCATTCGCGCAGGTGTCCGGGCTGGTCAGCCTTGCGGGACACCTGGTCACACAGAGTCCCGCTGCTTCGCCCGTCTGAGCGACGCTTGGCGTACAGAGTTTGGCGACGATGCTGAGCTCCCCTCCTGGCTGGAGC